ATTTATCATGTAGATCATAGCAGGGACACACAAACGAGTAATAACAAAAAAGATTTTAAAGTAATGGACAATGGAAGCGATCAATGCTGGAATATTATTCATCAACTCAACTATACATCGATAATTTTAAAAATTCGTGAACATTTTTTCTCCGTTCTAAAATCATAGCTAAATAACTGAAAAGCATTTGTCTTTATTATTAAAAAGCTTCCATTTTTATGGAGTCAACGGAGAGATTTATTGAAACTTTACAACACTTTCATTTAATTGTTAGAGATTAAATCACAAATGTAACAAAAATGTCTGTCAATCTTCTTGAGATCTCAAAAAAATTCAGATCTAGTTAAAAAGATGACTGATCTAATGTAATATATAAAGCTGCCGTTGTTTTTTGTGACGATACATTAAACACTTTAGCAGTTCAATTGATATAAGAGGTATTTTATATTGAATTTCTTACAAGCCTAGCAGCTAAGTTCTAATGCAAGCACATGCAGAGGCTTACACTAGCTGAAACGATGAATCCAGCTGAGACGTAAAAAACAACTATTAATTTCATATAGAGTTTGTTTGTAAATACTTATTGAGAATGAAAGGTTTTTTTAGCCGGTGATTTTGTCCCATCGACCAATATATGAATAAAGGAAAGTATGATTAATTAACAATTAAATGAAAGATTCTTTATTTAGTGCAGAATTAACTTTTTTCAACTAACCTGCGTTGGTTGCCCCAAAATTTAAAACGTGCTGCACCCATTCATAAAGGGATATTTCCGTTTTATTTTAGACGTGCTTCAAAGTCAAAAATGCTTGATTAATAATTATAGTGAGAAACGGTATCGTCTGAACTGATCTTTGTAGAGTATTTTTAATGGAAAAGTTAATGAAAGCTTTAAATCATGTCTGGAATATCCTAAGCCATATTAAAATTCTTCGCAAATTTAATGAGCGAATTTTTTTGAATCCTTTGATTGATTGAAGTGTTAATTATATATTTATTTGTGCTTTGTAATTCATGCATAACAACCATAAATGATTTTTTAATTTTTTTGTAAAGACTACGCAATTTTTAGGCAGTTTGCTTTTAAGATTGTTCCCTGTATTACAAGGAAAATATTTAATGCAAAATTTGCATATATTTTAACAATTATTTTTGTATTTCATGGCACCTACAAGCATATAACGGATGGAAAATTACATTAAATTTTACTTGACCTTCTGGACCCTGTACATTTTTAATGACAGTCATTTATTATGACCAGAGGTAAATTTATTGTTTGTTAGATAAAGTATTTCGTGCTCTTATGAATCATGTCCGTCTGAGGGATACTCATCTCTTTGTTTTGTTATCCTACCTGTATATTAGACGTCAAGTGCTCTTGTAAAAAAAAGGGATGAAAATCAACATATATTCAAATTTGTTTTCTTTCAATAATATCAAGGTGACTCAAGGTAACACTAAGATGATGACAACTCCTTTTCCATGGAGATTTTTTTTGTCTTAAAGAATGCAAACCACTTGATTTGAGTTTATAAAAAGGAAAGAAAAAAGTAGGTTTGCACTCAGTTCCACTGTGGTGACAAAAGTTGATAGATTGCGCATTGAGGAAAGTTGTGATATTATCAAGAAAAATGAAGACTGGAATTTTTTTGGTTCTTTTACTTTTAGGAGTTGCATTCACATTTGGTATTTATTCATAACATGATTGTTCATTGACTTTTCAGTAGATGCTCACAGTTTTAATGTTTTTTTTGATGCCCTTTAGCTCTTCCTACTGAAGAAGATCAGGTTCAAAATGCAAATGCTCCTGAAAGTGATGAAGGTATAATTATCGTTAAGCTAAAATTCTAAGTATATATTTTTCCCCTTTATTTTTATTCAATTCCTTCACTCGGGTTTATTTCGTTTACCAACAAAAACCTTCCATTGTTTACGAAGATTAAATTGTAGCTATAATCTGAAATCGTTTAGGGTAATTTTGTGTTATGTGTTAATTCTTTCTGATGTCTTTGCTTTATTTTTGCTTCATATCATTTTGAATTTTTTCCTAAGATTTGACAAAAGATGTTGAGAGTGTTGATGATGAAGATCATGACATAGAAGAAGACGAAGAAGATGATGAAGATGACGAAGAAGATGACGAAGAAAATGATCCAAAGTTATTGATATGTGTGTATAGAGCTAATAATACACTTACTAAAATGAGTAAACAAGATAAATAACTTATTTAATTTAAATTTCTTAAGTCCGTCGTCGATGCAGAAGATGCCAAAGAAAAGTCATTTACCGTTACCGTAAAAGACCTTACTATGGAAGATACAAGTTGCACTGTCGTCGTCCTTGTTACTGCAAACGTCGCTGTTTGTACAAAAAATGTTATGGTGGTTACACCTGCAAGAGATGGAGGGTTAGTACATTTAATAATAAATACATATGACTTCATGATCGTTTTACTATTCCCAACACTTTAAACTGTTCTCTACAATGGATCTTAAAAATAAAGATTATTTGCCAAAATAATATGGCCAACTGAATGGAATTATGGATTTATCTAATTTGTAACTCTAATCCTTTGTTTTTGTTTTGAAGCTGACAATTACAGATTTATTTACTGCAAGCTTTACGAAAATGTTAAAAATGAATTTTCTCTCTTCTACAGTGCTCGCGTCGTTATTCAAGAAAATGCTATTGGTGATTATCAAGACTAAGGAAACTGGATTTATTAAGAAACTTGTAGACATACATTAACCAAAATGTATTTGTAGAACAGCAGAAATAAATAGTTAAAATTGCATATGCATTTGTATTATTGTTTTGAAATCATCTTTGAAAGCGATCAAACAAACTTCTTAATGAGCAAAAAGTATTAATGGTTTTGGGTTAATAAACAAACTACAGTGACGTAACATAAACACTGATGGCCCTCCGTCAAATAGCCATTGGTGCCTCCCCCCCGGTGTTTCCACTAGAAAATATGTCGAGTGATCGTACATATTAATTTATATTTCCTCTACTCACGACTTGTGTTCTAATAAAGAAATTTTACGTATGCATTTAATTAAAGAATCGGGGTAAAAAAAGGGCATACAGAAATTCAACAAAGAACGGAAGAGCAGCAGAAGTGATTGTGCTTTAAATGGTTTATGAAAGCATTAATGAGATGTTAAAAAACAGTTTTGATTTCATGGGTATTTTATTACAATCTAAAGGAATTACAGAAAATTTGATGAAATATAAGTCAACAGAGCAGATGCGCATAAGTCAAGTTATTTTTGTTTCAACTCACAGCTCACGTAACATTTTTTCGTTCACAAATATACCCTGTATGTTATTTTGTTTGGAGTATACCTCTAAAGATTCAAAGACAAATGAATGTTTTTATTTTCTTTCAAAGTTGTATCATAATAGTATTGATATTTTCAATATTGATTTTCCCTAAATGTGTTTCATTTATGAAATAAATTATATGGTGCCCCTAATGTTAAGATACGCTCTTATATTCTTCCTGTAATTAGTAAACAATTAAGTCAAGTGTAACTAACTAAATGATTATTTAAGAGATACTTATGTGCAATAATCACAATATTTTTTATAGTTCCTAATAGCTTTCCGTTGATTGTAAATTAACCATATTTAGTAAAGAAACAAACATATCCATACGTAATATCTTGTAAAAATAGAAGTAGTTTAACCATTGTAAGATAGATCGTAGACCATAGCCATTGACGTTGAACATTAAATGTGATCGTAATAGTTATCTGTGATATCTCTATCTGTTGATGTAAGTCAATATTTACTAAAGAAGTTAGATGGCTACATCACAAAACCTAACACCTAATTCTCGGGGTGCAGTCATATGACATCCGTACACCCTAAGTTCACCACTAATAAACTATAGGATGATGTGGATAAATTGGGATTTTGATCGTGTGTATGATTTCTGATAACTTTATCATGATATTTTCTGTCAAATTTCTCAGTAACTTTGCATTATTATGCAAGTGAGACTTAAAATCATATCCCCATAATTTGGTATGATATAGCTACCGACCAATGTCAGATAGAAAACATGCTTTTTGAAGCTCATAATTAAACAAAGAAACAAAAATGTCAAGATTTAATACAAATAAATGTTTCTCATTCGTGGAAAATGAGTGAAATTACACCTAGAGAAAAATAGCGCGATTATGGACATTGTCGTTAATTTTGTCAAATTACGTAAAATATTAACAATAGTGACAGTTCACCAGACTGAGACTTTTAGTGACTTTCATTTAATTTAGCTACTCAAGAATAAAACCCAATATATCTTTCGATCTTTTCAAATGTAAATATTTTCATCTTTATAAAGCTATATTTAATTATAAACATGTTTCTTATTTCTGTAAAACCCTGTGGATGCAAGTCTTATCCATGCTCAAAATGTTAAATAACTACAAAAAGATTTTTTTATGAAAAAATCCACGAGGATTAAAATTAATTTTCTAAAGAAATAAACGATAATTTTGCTAAAAAATTTGCATTGCATGTAGGAGTAAAAGGGCGGCCGGCTTTCTCATTGAACAAATTGTTATCATTGGTTATTTGCTGATGTTATTTACAGCTGTATAATTAATTCATTCATATTTATAGATTATTTATGTCACTACGTTGGTCATCGTTTGATCATGTTTATTAAATTGCGCGAGAAGCACAGAAAAGGGATAAAAAGATTAAGCGACATTGTACATATATTTTGGAATGATAGTTGATGTAAATATATCATCAAATCATGTTGATATGACTGTTGTCTACGCGCACATACAATGGGGAAAAGCTACACTAAGCAACACGGCATCTACAATGAACTACAATGTATACATGCAAGACAGATATCCCAATTTATCCACAACATCCTATAGCTTATATCATTAACCCAAAGCCATTAATATTTTTGCTCATTGGGAGGTTTGTTTGATCGCTTGATAAAAGAGGATTTCAAACAATTATACAAATGCTTGTGCAATTTTAACTATTTATTTCTGCTGTTCTACAAATACATTTAATGTATGTCTACAGGTTTCTTAATAAATCCAGTTTCCTTAGTCTTGATAATCACCAATAGCATTTTCTAGAATAACGACGCGAGCACTGTGGAAGAGAGAAATTTCATTTTTAACATTTTCGTAAAGCTTGCAGTAAATAAATCTGTTAATGTCAGCTTCAAAACAAAAACAAAGGATTAGAGTTACAAATTAGATAAATCCATAATTCCATTCAGTTGGCCATATTATTTTGACAAATAATCTTTATTTTTAAGATCCATTGTAGAGAACAGTTTAAAGTGTTGGGAATAGTAAAACAATCATGAAGTCATATGTATTTATTATAAAGTGTACTAACCCTCCATCTCTTGCAGGTGTAACCACCATAACATTTTTTGTACAAACAGCGACGTTTGCAGTAACAAGAACGACGACAGTACAACTTGTATCTTCTATAGTAAGGTCTTTTACGGTAAATGACTCTTCTTAGTTTGTAAAGATACGACTTGTATGGTGCGTACGGTCTTCTGAGGTAACGGTAAATTATTTTTCTTTGGCATCTTCGGCATCGACGACGGACTTAAAAATGTAAAATCAGTAATGTGTTAATGTCGTCTTTTCAATTTACTTTAGTGTAACATTTACTCTATACACACATATCAATGACTTTGGATCATTTTCTTCATCATCTTCTTCGTCATCTTCATCATCTTCTTCGTCTTCTTCTATGTCATGATCTTCATCATCAGCACTCTCAACGTCTTTTGTAAGTCTTAGAAAAAATTAAAAATTATATGAAGATAAAATAAAAAAGTTTACGTTTTAAGAATGGACTGGAAATTTATTCAGATCAAACAAATAACTGAAAAGATACATAAACGAGATAGCTAGAATTTAATCTTTGTAAACATGAAGGTTTTTTTGTTGTTATACGAAATAAGCCAATTTTACAAGGTATACCAAATAAGACAAATGAATAAAATAAAGAGAAAGAAAATATGTTTATAGAATTTTAGCTTAACCTATTAATACCTTCATCGCTTTCCGGAGCATTTGCATTTTGAAGCTGATCTTCCTCAGTAAGAGCTAAAAGTATCATAAAAATATTAAAACAGTGAACATCTACTGTAAAGTTAATGAACAATCATGTTACGAATTAATACCAAATGTGAATGCCACTCCTAAAAGTAAAAATGCGAGAAAAATTCCAGTCTTCATTTTTCTTGCCACAATGTCAATAACTTTTCTCAGTGCGCAATGAATCAACTGTTGTCACCACACTGGAAATGAGTGCAAACTTATCTTTGCGTTCCTTTTTATAGTCTCGAATCAAGTCATTTACATTCTTTAACGACATAGAAATCTCCATGGAAAAGATTGTTGTCAATATCTGAGAGTTAATATATGACCGTATTGCTGTAAAAATATCACTTTTTTTTTAAACAAGAGCACTTGACGTTTAAACTCCATTTAGGAAGACAAGACAAAGAGAAAAGTACGCCAAGGACGGACATGATTCGTACAAGAACACTAAACATTGAAGATTGTTCATGTACCAAAATGACGAGTAATTTAACAAACAGAAAATTGATTGTTTAAAACTTCAAATTATAATCATGACGTTAAAATACGTCTAAATATAGGAATGAATAATAACTATGCCTTTATAATATACATAATGCGTTCATTTCCTTTCAATTCACTAACATACACTCTTACAATATCATATACATGAGAAAATTAAGGTTGTAGTTTCAATGTTGGACAACCAACGAAAGTTACTGAAGAAATTTAATTACATTAAGATAAACACAGTCTATCGTAAGATCGTACTTTCATCTGGAAATCAGTTAGAAAGTCGAGAGATTTGGTTTAATTTACATGCAATACAAAACTTCCTCCTTCATTGTGTATCATGTATTGATGACATGTAAGAAATTGAGAGTGAAAGACCCACGCAAACTAATCGTATTGCTTAATATAGTTAGAAAATTACAGCACCTACATATGTATTAACTTTCAGATCAATTATTTGAACTAGAGTTGCTTTAGAGATTGAGTTAAGTTTGTATAAAAATTGACAGACGTTTTAATTTGGTGATTTAATATCCAACTATTGAAAGTGTTGTCAAGTTTCGCATGTGTTGACTCTATAAAAATGGAAGATTTTCTATAGTAAAGACGAATGCTTTTTATCAACTTCACGATATATGATTTTAGACGGAGGAAAGAATGGTAAAGATTTTTTGAAAGTGTCGATATTTGAAATGTATAGTTGATCTGACGAATCTCCTGGAATTGGAAAAAGATTCCAGCATTGATCTCTTCCATCGACGATTTCCGTTACTTTAAAATCTTTTTCTTCATCATTCTTGTGACCAAGAATCTGCATGACAAATATAACCAAGTGTTTAAGGCAATGTGTTTTTGTGCGGGCGATGAACAGACTGGCTTTTGGGCGTATTGTTGCTGTCAGTAATTCATAATATCAACCAATCACATGAAGCATGTATTTTGGAAACTAGGCAGGGTTTGAAATCATGTTGCAAAATAATTACTAGCATAAAATGTAGTGCTTCGGATTATCGCTGTTGCTTCAGTTATATTGGATTCATTCTGCGGATTGTAATGTGAAATAATAAATTGTGGCAAAGTAAAAAAGAAAAGTAATAGATAGCACAGTAAAATAATGATACATATTTTACAATGATGATTTCGTAGCAACAGTTTCTTACTTGAACGCAGAGTTTTCTTGAGTACAGGTATGGTAGAATTGTATGGAGCCATTTTAGAAAGAAATCTTTGCTAAGCTGTTGAAGTAATTTTACCTGTAGAAAATAAAAGTTAGTTTTACTTAATGAAACATAAAGTTTTAGCTACTTAATGAAATACAGATAGTTATATTGTATGAATTGTCCTGTGGGTTAATCAATGTCATTTGCAAATGCATTAAGATACTCGAGAGTATACGGGAGACATTAAGATACTCGAGAGTATACGGGAGACATTACGACATGCACGAAATTAAAATCTCAAACAATAATAAAGAGTTACGTCAAGTTTTACATAACGAAAATTGTAAAGAGCAAAAAATTTACATTTTTAACACCAACACTGATGCAAAAATATACTACAATCAAAGAACAAAAAACAAAGCACATCTCGCAGTAAATTACTTCATCATTTAGTCTTTGAAAGTTATAAGTTTCATCAACAATCTCATCCCAGTTACGATCAAATTCTTCACCCATATTTAAATCATCATGTTGTTTGATTTCTACCATTGATGAAACCTGAATATATAAGAGGTAAATAAAAATATAAGAAGGAAAAAAATAGATTTTCACTCTTTTTTTGCCAAAGTGATCATAAAAAGTTTCGCGCCTTACGTGGTTATTGAATATTTCAACTTTAACCTGGGGAAGATCTAGCAGAAAATTCTTTAAAAAATTATCCATTCGATCTTTCACGAACTCGGCGCTAAAAAGAATTGCTAATATATAATTCTAATCAATTCATAATTGATATTAATTTATTCTAGCTCCATAATACTTATTTTGTGAAATGATTTTATGATTTCTGTGATCTATTAGTAAATGGCTTCTATTAGTCCAATAGATAATATGTGCAATGACGTTAGAAAAAAGTTTAACATGCTTACAAAATAACAAAACTGACCTATAATTTTCAGCTTGGGTATGAATAGTCACTGTAAAACCTAAAATGCCGTTGGTAACTCGAGACTCACAAAACACGGAATACCTAAAGAAATAGATCGACAAATTACAGTAATTATACGAAATGTGCGAAAATAAGATTGTTTTAATTTTTCACTGATTAAATTCCATACCCAAGTTGTTCCTTAGTCCTTAAGATGTCAAAGCAAGGTTCTTCCATCATATTCTTAAGTGTCAAACATAAAAGCGGATATTACTGAATTTGACCTTCATCACACTTTAAACACAACTACGGTCATGATAGCGTGCATTCAAATATACACGTTCCTATAAGATTCCTCCGGCAGAAAATAACATATTACATAAAAATAATTTTATAAAATATATTTTAACTGCATTTTAGAATATGCTAGAGTAGTTACGTGCTAGCCGTATGAGTAAGTACTTTTAAGTGCCAGCACAAGTAGCCTATTCGGCAGTTTAGCCGCCCACCGGTACAATACATGATATATTTTAAGAATATACGCTCAGCTTTAAAACTTTTTTTACCATCAAGAGTTCCAAGTACGTCAAATCCCTTCCAGTACCTGGTCCAACCTGTTAAGAATTGTAAATAGCATACACTAAAAGTCTTTAATGTTTTAAGTTCTTATTATACGTGTCTGTAATAATAAAATAATTAATTGTCAAACTTTATTGATTGCATGGAAATAGAAATTCATCGCGCTTTTTGTCGCAAAGAATGACATGGTATACAACGTTTGCCTACATTCCTGGCCATATATACACGATTTTTCAATGTGACCATGAAAAAAGTATATTGACTGACATTGCAGTAAATAATGAAAGCACGTTCATGCATGTACTAGACCTGGTAGTAATTTACTATCACAGTATTCTCGTCCATTGAGTTAAATCCATTAATTTTGCATTGACTTTCGCAGTCAGGAAGTTGAGCAACTCTAATCTAAAAACAAAATCAAATACTTAGCTAAATAGGTTGGTTGAACTTCTACAATTTGTCAAGTTTGTAACAAAGTTTGTCAAAAATAATATATTCTTCACCTTTGGGGATGTATCTTTCGAGGTTGATTCAAACTTGAGACACCTACGAATTATGAAAACTGAAGATCATAATTCTACGAATAACAAAATACGTAATTTTTTTCTTTTTTCATTAAGGTAGCTATTAGAAGAAATGAGGTAGATAGCAAAGTATCACAGAGAAAGATTTTAACCTACATTTCACATGCGTTAAACTCTTTTGCAATTTGGAAAACTGTATTTTTCTCCTTGTAGAATTTATCATAAAACGCAAAGGTGTTTTCTTGCAAAAATTTTCGTATTAAACTCGACACAAAATTATACTTTTCAAAAACATTCCTGCATAAAACTTGTCCTAAAACCAGTATAGACCTGCATGAAGGCTCTTACAGTAATATAAGCTAAGTTACCTGTAGATGAATTCTTGATGACGTAATGCTTGCTTACAGATTTATACAAAATGAACAAATATTGACGTTAGAGGATGAATTGCAAACTTCGAGGGATTAACGTTTAAAGTGTGACTTAAATTACGTAAAACAGACGGTAAAAGAGTTAAAGATAAGGTTAAATTTTGCGATTTCGTACATCATGTATGACAATAATAATGACTTTAGAAGGTAAAAACCAACACAAAAGATTGTCCTCACCTTTGAGTCAATATTCCCTTGAAATAAGCTTTCAACATAAAAATTCAAGCGCAGTTCCTTGTAAAAGTTCTACAGAGAAATTATAAACTTACATAATTAACATAATTATAATGGTCAACGTGAAAGTGTAACGAAGGCATAAAAACAGACAGAGGGGAGGCAGCGTATAAAAACTGATAGGGAGAGGGGTGTTAAGCCTGTTTTCCACTAGCCATGTATCGTAACGTATTGTAGCAAATCGTAACATGGCGCATGCGTGCTTATGCCTACTGACCATCAAATCACAAGCACGCATGCGCATGTTACGTTTTGCTACGATACATTACGATACGTGGCTAGTGGAAAACAGGTTTTAGCCTTATTTTGTTTGCTGCAGCATTTGCAAACCTCTACACTAAGAAAAGATATGAATTTCATCGCTAACCTTACATTCCTGCGCCGTTAAATCTAAAATTGCAGCTCTTTTTTCACAAAAAGTCCACTTTACACTTTGAAGAATTTTTAGACGAACATCCCTGTAAACATGTTATTGATGATGTAATTGCAGACATGTGATCAATGATGTACATAACTGCCATTGAACTAAAATACATGGAACGCTACCTAAAGCAAATAATTGAAGCCAAATCTTACACCCAGACACGCGTGTGCAGTGTTTCGAGTTCTGAAAATTGATTGACTACACACGCGTGTCTGGGTGTAATCTCGCGTGTCTGGGTGTAAAATTTGGCTTCAAGAATTTATTAGACTTTTCTATTACAGGTAGCGTTCCATGTATTTTAGTTCAATGATAACTGCAGACGTGCTACTGATGATGTAATTGCAGACAATGGTCCCAATGCTTAGATCACATACCGAACAAGTTTCTGAGGTTGTATGATACAGTTAGAATATTTTCTTATTGTTTGTTCCTAAATACAAAAATAAATAATCATGAATAGAAAGCTAAATTGGGTTTTTACATATCTTAAAGAGGGTGTCGATTATGCTACACATTGCTGGGTGGGTTTTAATTATAAGCCAGGTTCACAATTGTGAAAGAAGAAAGAGTTAAAATGTCATGTTGAAAAAACTTTCTAATGGTTAAAGATAAAATTTTCGTTCACATTCCATCAAACGTATTGCTGTCTTCCCAGTGAACAATCTCAAAAGCAGAAGTTGTAAAAATCATGAGACGAATTCATAATTACATGTCATACAAACATAGAAAAGTTCTGTTTTTAGCTAGAAAACTGCGTGATGTAAATTTTTAAAGCTTTTATACATGTGGCTCATCACAATTTACCATATCATATTCTCACTTTCGTTATTATAAGGCGATTGTAACCCTCTTACACTAAAAAATTAGCAAGTTAAAAAACCAAACAAAAATTACGATAGAGACGATCACAACTTACTTTTAATATTTCAAAATGATTTTGATTTACATCAAATGAAACAAAACGCCTAATGACTTCCTCCATAAGCAACTATTAAAAAGATTTGACCATACTTCAGAATTTTCATGATATTTCTGTTTTAACAGGAAAGAAAAACATAACGAAACGTACAGACAACTTTTCGTCATATCCATCGAAGCGTAAAATGATTCCACCTTCAGCGACTTTGATTCGATAACTATAAAATCAAAAAAAGCAACTAAAGTCGAACCTGTATTAAATGGCACCGTACTAAGCAGTCAGCCAGCTTTAGGCTACCATGCGGCAATTCCTCCAAAATATACGCAAGCTACATTAATGATATCATCTTTATAATAGATCGCATTTTGCCTTAATTGACTTCAACGTTATGATAATTTTGTAAAACCAACCTTAAACCAGCGACTTGAGCAGAATATGCAACATCGTTTAGATCAAACTCAAGCAGCAATGCAAACATTTCAGCAAGCACTAAACTACAATTAAATGACAAAAGAATAAATATCTTATTTATTCATTGTAAGTTTTGATGATGATACTTCTAAATATCGTTGCATATCTTACTTTCTTGCAGTGCAATTAACCAACGGAGATTTGAAATACATACTGAAGATTGCTGTGAAGAAAAAATATGGTAATAAAAATAGTATAGGTCTTTATTAACGGCTACAATTTTACCTTTAGGTACATGAAACTTGTCATCTTGCTTAAACCAAACTTTACCTCGGGTACACTCATGTATCAAGGTAGGAAACTATACATTAACACATCATGGTAGGAAACTACATATTAACACATCATGGTAGGAAACTAACATTAACACATCATGGTAGGAAACTACACATTAAAACATCATGGTAGGAAACTACACACATTAAAACATCATGGTAGGAAACTACACATTAATATATGATGATGGGAAACTACACATTAAAACATCATGGTAGGAAACTACACATTAAAACATCATGGTAGGAAACTACACATTAACACATCAAGGTAGCAAACTACACATTAACACATCATGGTAGGAAAGTACACATTAATACAACATGGTAGGAAACTGCACATAAGGGGCAGGTTGCACGAAGCCTGCATAGCGTTGTCCGTTGAATAGTAATTTTTCCAACCATGTTAAAAAGGTGGTTATACTATACGTTATAATCATATAGATTATGAAACTTTGTAATTCTAGAAACAATTTCGTATTTTATTGACTGTTCAGTTGAAATCATAGATTCATAAAATTTTTCAAACGTTCAAATATATTATATTGCTATTCAGGCTTCGTACAACCGACCCTAGACTTGATAACAACAATGACACACATGAAAAACATTGTCGATAAACATTCATTAAATTTTGATTTTACCTTTACAGAACCTTCTTTAGACTTTCGAATAGTAAAATTTTCAGCTAAAACAAACATTTTGCATCAATACAAAGATTTCCACAATCTCGTTATTAATACAAAAACAATCAATATACAAAATGTGTCTTACTAACCAATGAATATGTTTCTTTCGGGTAGATGAAAATTGCTGTTTAACTCTAAAATATAGCATCAATGTGAGGTGTAACAATACATATCATAGTAAAACCATTTTATCTTGCCTTGAAGTTCGATGTTCTTTAATTTTACATTAATATCTATAAAGAAATCACAGTTCATATTTATCATCGACTATTATTTAAATTATTTTGATCTTAAATTAAATCCAAATGAACGACTGTTTAAATAATTTGCTGAACAAGTAAACTTTATTTACATTTGTACTTTCAACAAATGTTATAAATTCACAATTGTACATGTTTAACAAGTGAATTTAAATCCCAATTGTACCTTCAACACAGAACTGGGTGTCAAACCATTTTTCTTTTTCTTTGCACTCTTTTGTCAACGTTTTTGATATCAACATTATATTTGCTTTGTCTGAAGTTAAGCTATTAGTAATATCAGCTATCATCTAAAATACAAAGGAGCATTTTATTAAAACATAGCAAGCTATTTTCACCCTCGCTTTACATTCTAAAATTATCCTAATTGCCCAGATGGAATTTAAACGTTTTGGGGTTTGGACAATTGCATGTTTCGTGCATGTGTATAATTTTCGCTGGAACTATTTAGGTTTTATTCTTAGCCTTCATAAAAGTTTTTTTTTACTAAGCAGTTTTATTAACGTTTGTAAGACTACTGTGAAGTTAGTACATAAAAACGGAAAAATTTTAGTTTCCCGCAACAATGTATAAAAATATAGTGTTTACTTGCATGTTATTTGATCCGCACCAAGGCCTACCTTGTCATCGAATTCCCAGAGTAAATCATTGCCAGTTAAAAAGTCAGGCTCGGGATACAGCTGTAATATAAATCAAATTTCAACATTCAAGCTTCAAAATTTATTATTTATAAAATTTTGAAATAAATGTAGTCTTTTTTGAACGAATTTATTAAAAAAGTACATCGCAAGAGATGAGAATAAACAATCAGTAGTTCTCATAAAGGGTAACGTTTTAACGTCAAAAATTAAAGACAATACTCCCATAACATGATTAATGATAACATTGTAGCTAAGATCAAGAATATTGTAGATCAAAGCAATCTTCGGAGAATTCTTATGGGCTCAAAAACACGAGAACGCAAAAAATATACTAGCGATTCTGCATGTTATTAAAAAATACCAATAATGATAAAACTACACAAATCTCAACATCTACGTATATTGTAACAAGTACATTTTCTTGCACATAAAAAGTTCGACATTGTGCATGAAATTTAGCCTGTTGTTACTTAATTCACTGAGTATTTAAAGGCAAATACCTTAGATAAAAATTGAACGTTAATTACATAGGGCAATTTACCTGCATAGATTGAGCAATTTCCTCTACATACTCATATGGCTCTTCCTATACAAATATTTTACAAAAAACTATCACATAATATTTTAGGAAAAACTGAGAAACAGTTTAAGCAACAACGACAACATCAGTTGCATGCATTATTTGAATAATGGTAACTGCTACAACAATCGTCTTTAGATGTTTAATATAAATAATGCACTTTACGTAGTGAGATAGCTGAATGAAAAACAAAATATTAATTTAATAAGTTTTATTTTACAAAAGTACAGTACACAGCACACCGTATCGACGTGTTCAATCATTTTACAATAACTAGCAAATCGCCTAATATAGGAAATAGAAATTCGTATACGTTTTTCTATAATATACATACATACGAGGCTTTTTATAGTATTCCTTATTTCAAAACGATAACTTTTTTACTCTGCTAACTAGCAACTAATAACTTACAATTAAGTCATTTACGTGAATTTTATGCATCTAGTGAAAAGGTTTTAAGTCATGTTGGGCAAATTTTTAATATTATTTTCGCATCGTCGAAGAAATAACTCTCATTTGCTTGGACCTAAGGATGTATGTATATTTACCTCTTGCTTAAATCTAAAATAATTTTCTTCGATTTTCTTTATTTCATTGAATACCCTAATGCATATAAAACGACATCGTTATATAGTATAACATATATGTAGCAGATAAACATTCAACAATTTTATAAGTATATTTTTCAATGTTCTATACCGCAAACTAGGACCATTACGACGCAGCATTTCCAGATATTGATAAATCGCTGTGACAACCTATACGCGATATAATATTTATGTATTTATAAATAAAATGATGTACGTATAGCGACATACATGGATATTTATGTATTTATATGCAAAATGATGTACGTATAGCGACATACATGGATGTTTATGTTTTTATATGCAAAATGATGTACGTATAGCGACATACATGGATGTTTATGTTTTTATATATAAAACGATGTACGTATAGCGAAACACATGGATATTTTAGACTACCTCAACATAATGATCAAAACCATTGACCTTAAAATAAAGTTTCATAAAAAGAAACGTAAGCATGGAATTATTCACCAACAGCAAATTTATGAAAACAAAGTTAAAAATAAAAATTGAAAAATTGTTGTGCAGCAGTGTAAAAAAAACAGCCACTTACAGTTAAATAAACTTGACACGTAAAAAGTGAGTAGAGGGAATTAAACTCCTGCCCAGACTCCGAATTACCGGCACACAGCGCAGTTGCCCAGCCTCTAAAAATTATAAAAATAACTACTCCATTTATTAATAAAAACATGTACACACTACATGCCATGAAAAATTTAACACTTTATTTGAGCAGACAAAAGAATGATAAGTGATCTCATAAAAGATCTGGAGTGATGATCATATCAATAAAACGACCATTTCCATGCCTCAACAACAAACTTACTTTTCTTTCAACCATGAAAGTACACCACCACGACTCTCGTGTCCAAGAAGCCATGATATATAATTTAATGGTTTTGTTCTATAATAATTTATTGGTGACAAACATTTTTCATTAAAACTTTCATCTGTGTTCATTGTTCACATACTGGTCTAATTTATTAGAATTTTATCGTAGAGATCTAACTGCATGGACTGAAGTAAATGAAGTTTTCAATTTGGTACTTTCAGCCTTCTTCAGGATAAGAAATACAAGATTTATTTACAAATATTTTTGCTTTGAAGACGTTTAGGGTTATGATTGGTGGTTTAATGGATGTATCAAGATAATTGGATGATACAGAATGCAAATGATACAGAATACGATGCATAAAATAAGATTTTCTAAGTATTTGTCCTTTTTACAACTTAGTTTTTATTTTTATATAATATTTTATCAAACACATAAAACTCTTTTGAAACATCTTGTTTTAAACTTCACGATCACGACAAAAGTTGGTTATTTCAGGGTAACCAAACATGTAATAAAAATATTGCTCTGAACATTAACGTATTTGTTATGGCGAAAGACAAACGAAGCAATATTCATATAGCTACTGTATCTTTATTTTGGTTTTCGACAGTTCTTTTAAAATTACTCAATGGTCATTCACCATAACAAATACGCTATTCATGCGGAGATGTATCGTGTCATTTATTTTCAGATATCTTTATTTTGATTCCAACATTTCTTTTAGGAAATACTCAATTGTCATTCACCATGACAAATATTCTATTCATACGGAGATGTATCGTGTCATTTATTTTCAGATAACTTTATTTTGATTCCCAACAGTTCTTTTAGGAAATACTCAATTGTCATTCACCATGACAAATATTCTATTCATGCAGAGATGTAGTATCGGGTCATTTATTTTTAGACATCTTTATTTTGATTCCCAACAGTTCTTTTAAAAATTACTCAATGGTCATTCACAAATACGCTGTTCAGAGGACTGTTTAAGTTTGTAACCACAACCAAGGTTTTGTCATATAATAAAACAATATGACTCCAATAGCAACATATACGTAAGGTTAACAAACCTGTAATATTGATGAAGCGGAGGTAATGCCCAAGTTATTTCAACACGATAAATATCTTTAATTGGAACAACTATAAAAATACAAATCTAAGACGAAATCCATTTGGGCAAGAAAATGATGATCGTCTTGAATACATGTTGAATACCTTTGATAATTTTTTGAAATTTTCCTGGAGGAAAACCACTTTGCCCCTATTTAAAGATATTGCAAAAACAAGAACAGTTTGTCGTCAATGAAGTTAAAAATCCTCGTTATTAAAATGCATACATAACAAAAAATGATGCACATTTTGATAAAAAATGTAATAAGCCTTCGTATAGTTCTGTTTATTGTGAATTGAAAAATACTATAAATGGGTTATATCTCTAAGTCATGGTCATAAAATAAAGTTTCCTAATTTATTTTATAAACATAATAGCTGCATGGCTAAAGTGTGGCATTATCAATTTGAAAATTATCAATTACACTAAATATAAATATATCAACATACTAGATTTATATTTCTGGGAATTGATAAATCAACATTTCTGCAACAAAAATGAACTTATCAGCTACCATCATGCTGAAACAAATAACTGTCGTTTATCAGTAGTTAGCTACCGAGCAGGAATTAGACTAAATATTTCAGTTATCCATTTCTGCAAGACATCAAGAGTTTCTAAACGATAAAACGATACAAAAGTTTATTGACATATGTAATAATTAAACGATGACTGCAATAATGAATAAGTTAGTGACTTTCGACAACATCTGAAACAAAACTATTTTGTCAAGACGTAATGTTAATCACAGTCTACATGACGTAATTTTCACATTTAGTGTCAACCACAGTCAGCATGACGTAGAGTCATAAGACGTAATGTTAATCACAGTCTACATGACGTAATTTTCACATGTAGTGTCAACCACAGTCAGCATGACGTAGTCATAAGACGTAATGTTGATCACAGTCTGATTGACGTAATTTCAACACGTAATGTCAATTACAGTCAGCATGACGTAGAGTCGTAAGACGTAATGTTAACCACAGTCTGAAGGACGTGATGTCAATCACAGTCTTCACGAAGTAGTGTTAACCATGCAGTCTACATAAAGTTTGTGTCAGCATGACTACATTTTTAATTTTAGAATTATGATTCATTTATATGTACTTACCATTAGAAGTAACAGCTAAAGTCATTTTATGCGACGAATATGTTTTTGTCCAAAACAACTTTAAATACTCTACTACGTCCATTCCCTAGAGAAAATGTACAGCACAGAAACAAAATTTTAATGTAGGTGCGCATGTAGCTAACTTTGTAATTCATTACAGCTTTTTTTTATGCTCTACCAGCAACATCCAACCCACCAAAATATTTAGACACCGTGGATTTTATTTCATGACTAAAGAATAGATGATTTTACCCACCGATTCTTTGGGAACAAAGCTTAGTGATTCTTCATTTCCTAACAATTAAATAAATCAATATGATAAATAAAGTTAATGAACTTCAATTGAAAAACGTCAAAAATAGTATTAGCTCTATTTGTCGCTTTGTAGTTTGGTTTAATTACTAAATGTGCCGGTTATTTTGTGCGATAAGCTTATCATTAAAAAGCATACACGTTTGCATTAACTACCCCAAAAAAATTTTCCAAAAGGATGACCCTCCTGTGTTGTCAGACTCCCGAGAAGTTGCATGTTACGAGCAGCGTCATCTTGGTAACTCATCCGGAATTCTGGGGTGAAGATAATTTTAACTTAATCTATCATAGCAAAACATACATTATCATAGCAAAACATATCATAATAGCCAAACATACATTATCGAAACAAAACATACATTATCATAGCAAAAACATACATTATCATAGCAAAAACATACATTATCATAGCAAAACATACCGCTATCAACTGCTTTTATTTCTCGTTCTACACTGTCCTTCTTCATTAGCGGGTGTATAAAGAACTGAGCAAATCTATTTGAAAAATTCTTGAAAATAACAAAGGCAACATTTGATGTTTTTCGTTAAATAGAACAAGAAAACCTGTCAAGAGATTCTTTAAAATACTTTGCACGAACATCAAAGACGAACACTGTCTACATAAAAGTAAATTTACACATATATTCATAAGCTCGGCCAGTTTAATGTCACGATAAATAAATAGCATATAGAGCAGCAATCAATCAATTGTATATGGAAGTAGGGTTAGAAATAGACACCCCTCTACCCAAAAAATCTTCAAGAATAAATTTATATTATAATTCAAACAGTTGTACAATGAGCACTTTGACGTCATATTCATCTTTTGTGACGTAATTATGTCTACTGATGACGATGCACTGACGTTTAAAGATCGCGAAATTTTTTCATTTAAAACATAGAAATTGCACATTTGTTTATGAAAACTTCTGATATTCTATTTAATTTTTGTGTAATTTGAGCGTTTAAGTTTGGCTTTATTTGCATAAACTACCCATTACAAGACATAATGATCATACCCTTTCACACTCTGTAAAGGCATTTGAGCTACCTCCATGTTTCTTAATAAACGCATCTAATTCATTTTCGTCAGGATACTTTTTGCTTCCCATAAAAAGCACTATGTTCAATAAATAAAAAGCAAATATTTATAATATTTAAACGTGAGAAAACATTTGTCAGAAAAGAAAATGCAGCTTGGTAAATATCATAGGCACAAAAGAAATGAATAATAATTTAAACATCATTGATTTAAATTTTTACATTGTTTTATGCTCATCTGCAAGTTCATTTGCAAAAGAAATGAGTTGAAAAAAGTTTCAGTTATCTGGACGATTAAAAGAAAAGTTTGATTGCTGTTGTCATGACCATTCCATAATGTATAAGACAAATGCAACTATTTAGCAAGGATTAATAGACAGGAACACTAGATGATTGATAATTGGGGACTCATGTGTTTCAATGAATAACTGATTTTAATAGAAACCAATAAAATAACTCCCTCACCCCAACTATCAATCCTACAGCACCCTAATAGGGCTTCTTAAGAGTTGTAATTTTAAGTAAATTTGAAATTGAGATACGTACTGTGCTCTAGGAAATGAGCAAGGCCAGGCATTTCCTTTGGATCATTAAAACTTCCAACACCAACACAGAGCGCCGCAGCTGCCTAAATGATTGCTAAAAGTCAGGAAGAATTATAAAGACTTACAGCCTTTTATAACTGCTGGCGCCTTTCAGGCTTCAGTAAAAGACAAATATAAATCTATAGAAAAAGTACCAGCTTCTTCCCTTTCTTAGGAGCATCATTTGGTTTCAGTTCACTTGTATCATCTAAAGGAATTGGGGAATCAGACATGTACCTTGTTTTATAGCCAAGCCTCATAATACTTTACATATTATTAGAGTCAAGTGGCAAAATGGCTTTGAAGATGACTACAACTGCTATGATGATGACTACAAGTCAAAATGTCAAACAGCACTAAAACCAACAGTCCATCTCAGGACTGTACCATATAATCAAATCTTCAACCATGCAACAATATTCCCAGGTTACAACTATTCTCATAAGATAGTATTTATTGACCTACCATCACTTCCTCTGTCAACATCACCATAAAGATCGACATCACTTTCACCATCACTAAAGATACTATCAACGCTATCACTGCCATCATTGCTGTCACTGCCATCATTGCTGTCACTGTCATCATTGCTACTTTTATCTTCACAAACCATCAATTCATCATCTAACTCATTCTCACTTCCTCTTGAAAAGTTAGTTGCAATGTCCACTCTTATATCATGTTGTGCTGCTTGCGCACATGAATTTTTAGCCAGATCTGATATCAACAATGCAGTTAATCCATTTTCCAACTTTATAACCCTAAGTGCACAATCTGTTAAAAATTCATTTTTGTACAATTCAAGACGCAAAATATTTACAATAACCAACCTATAATCACGATGATCATTCTGGGACTTAACAACTTTAGAATCCTCCATATCTATATTTCGCACTACTTCATGTTACAACACAACATGTGTGTATAAATGACGGACACAGACCTTACGTGGTCAACACTCAGGGTGATCAGTGAACATTATAATATTATAAGGTGATCAGTGGACAACGAACAAATTTCAAACATTTAAATATGAACGACGTGGTATAGAGCCAATATACAGACATTTCGTGTAATAATGCAATATTTTCGGCTTTGCTAGAACAACTAAGTAAGGACTGAAAAACGTTTGGTAACGACTTTTCAGCAATCATAGTAATTGACGTGTACCTATACTACGTAAGATCTTTAAGTAGCTACAGGCCAAATACAGTACAGCAGGTTATGAAACAAACATTTTCCATCATGTCTACAGTTTTTCAACATGAAGCTGAAAAATAGCTACCTTAAAACATGTTTCCTTGTTCAGGCGCTATTACGTACAAGTTTCCTTGTTCAGACGCTATTGATATAGATAACATTACATAATAAAGTGTGTGAATGAAAGGAATGACAGAAATTGCAGTCTCATTGAGTCATCAAGCAAGAATTGTTTAAGGATGAGAAATGAAATTCTGGAGCATTTTCGTAGTTTGTACACCGTAATTCACTTAATCTTGCTGACGATTTCTTCAGATCATCAGAAGAATTTGAACAAAACGAAACATTGTGTATTTTATAAAATTCATTATTATTTTTGAGAGAGAAAGCGAGAAAAATTATATCATCTTACTCTCGCCATTCCCCGCTTCCTTCTACCTGAATATCAAAAATATACATTCTACCGTGTTGTTTCGTTGTTTAAGGATTCCGAATATGAATGTACAGTATCAATAAATATTGTCACTTTTTCAGGGTCCATATCTGGATATATTCCATGCCCAAGATTTGCAATATACTTTTTCGTACCAAATGAACGAATCATGCTTTTGGTTGCTTGAATCAGATCATTCTAAGCGTAAAAAATAAATCACATGCTGCCCACGTGACATGAAGCACAACACGCCAGAATATACGCATAGTTATTGTGTGTTAACTACGAATTGTGCAAATTCAGAAATTGAAAAATAAAAAAATGATGAAATCATCTACGTATATAGTACCTTACAAGCGTACAATCCACAAGGATCAAGGTTTCCTTGCAAAACACGATTTGGCGCTTGCAGCCTGTAAAGATTAACATTAAAACATTAAATCTTTATTGCTCCAGCGTAAGCTTTTAATAAACATTTTGATGCCAAGAATTTACGCATAAAACATCAAAAGTTTACATTATAAATTAGTCAATGAAAGAAACGCAAACCGAGCATCAGCTACAGGAACTGTCCAGTCCAAGCTAATGACGTCATAACTACTTTGAGAAAGTTCTTGTATGGCGTACGTAGCACCTTTAGCAAATATGACCTTTAAGAATGAAAGCATCATTGATATAGTAAAATTTAACATGTGCTGAAACATATTCTAAGTGAACCAGCAAAAGGTCTTTAATATGCATTTCAAAAACTTACCATGGGAACAGAATTTTCCCCAAGTTTTTCTTTCACTTTAAAAGCTATTTGCTCCAGATAAGGGTATGCATAAAGAGTAAATAAATATGGACTAAGACATTCTGCATGAGATTCAAACACTTGAAGCATCTGTAATCAAATATTGAAACTATGTCACATCATCATCATCAATAATCAATTGTAAGAGTATAAACTGTCCAACGTCCAAAAATATGCAAAACTGTAACATGTACAGACATTAGAGGTTAATTCAAATGAAAAAGAATAATTAAAATAATAAACTTTATATTGCTCAAAGTAAACAACAAACCTGTGCTCCAGCTTGAACTTGAGCAACAAGATAATCAACTATAAGATCAGTTAATGTCTGTAGCAGTAATGAGGTTGCTTTAGCATGTTTATACAACCATTTCTTTGCATTTGACATAGTTTTACTGCCACCACCTTCAATCATATAAGCCATTAGAGTCCACTACAGACAAAAATTATTGTAACAGTAAAATAAAATGAGAGTAAGGTGAATATATTAACATAAATTTCCATGATTCCTTACTGGTGCTCCAGAAAAACCAATTAATGGAACTTTTCCTTCAAGTTTATGTCTGGTCAAAGTAATGGCATCTAAGACATATCCCAGCGTCTCCTTAACTACAACATTTTTCTTCAGCCTCTTAAATTTGATTTCAAATTGTGAGAGAAGTTATTCAGTATAATCAATGACTATTAGAGGCAATCAACACTACAGAGAACTGATGGTTGAAAAAGTCACAGGCACAAAATTCAACAATATATAATGTACTTACTTCAAGATCATCAGGTTCCTTAAGAGGTTCAGGAAAATGAGGACCCTAAAAAATTTTAATACATCAAGTACAACACAAATTTTTCAAACTTAATTTACATAAATTCAATGTTCATATGTAATATGTAGATACTAAAAAAAAACACTGAAAATCAACATACTTTTCCCTTTAACATCTCACACTTCAGACCCAAAGCCTTAAAAATTACATGGAAAATTTAGAGCAACATTCATATTTCATTTATTTTATTTGTGCACATGAAAAAAAAGCATTAAAACATTATATGAAAAACCAGCAAATATAAGCATGCAAAAGAAGTTTCCTCTTTACCTGTGGAATCACCAATATATCTGAAAATATTATAGCTGCATCCAAGTCAAATCTTCTAATAGGCTGATAAAAACAATGAAGACTTTAATTGTTTTCAATATACAAAACCTTCATCCATAAAGACATTTATTATTATTATTATTACCAAATGTTCTAACAGGATAAGAACTTCAGTACCATAAGCCTACAAACACTTATTTACAATACAACTGCTATTCATATTTGTCCTGTTTACTATTGTATATGTTCTTTAATTATCATCACACAAAGGCATTTTGGTTAACCAAACAATTATGCCATACCATATAAGGTAATGTAATCTAATATGCACAGATAACATTGTCACAAATAAGTATTCAATAAAAGCATTATGTATTTTGAATAAAAACATTACATTTTTACAAACAGTTGCCTAAACATCAAAACATCTTGTATACTTGTAAACTAAATATTGTACATGAATACATTAATACCTGAAGTGTAATTTCACAGGCTAAATTGGGCGACTGAACAATATGAAAAAAATCACTTCCATGTTCTTCTTTGAACTTACGAAATTCTGCAACAAAGAAAAATTGTGTTTTTATACAAATTCCTAAGTTTTTAAAGTAGAATTTAGGTATGAAACAACGGCTACCTAAACTTGAATATAAATTCTATGTACAGTGACATGGGATACATTATGTACTCAGTGGGAATCAGACATTAAGCAAAATAAATTATAGCAGCTTGATTATAAATTCAAATACTATTCTAAACAAAATTATTGGTTTTGAATTGCTAAAGAATGAAATTTTCTAATTAAGCTGCCTCTATTTGGAAATGGCATTGTGTGCAAAAAATGAGTTGCAGTAATTTATTTTGATGTACCATAGATTTGCTACAGCAAATCAATCACAAAGCAATCCTCTCTTATTTTCAGATAGATAATATGAGAAGACCTCGCAGGCTGTTCAACTGTCACACACATTCAGGCTATAGTATTTTTCTCAAGTAGTATAGTTATATATAATACAGGTTACATAATATTTAAGAATGACATAACATCTGCAAAGACATCAAATTCAAGAGAATATCCAATGATTTTAAACCAAATGGTAAATCAGAAAGGTAATGATACCTGGTAAATATCTGCCAGCTTGCCTCATAATCCACACTGGAACTTTTTCCGTATCTTCTCCTCTTGCAGCTCGGAGAATTAAGTCATTTTTTAATGGTGGGAAATCTTTCATGTTATTTTCACTCATTGTTTGTCTTGATTAATCTATCATGAGAAATGAAGCATGTATGTAAGTACGCTACTCTTCACGTTGCTATCACCAAAAAAACCAATATAAGTTATGTAACCAATAAAGCCAATCACCATTCACAACCGACTCGACCAAAGAGATGGTGAATGTACCTCCAATAGCCGCTCACCTATCCTGACAATTTTTAGGCATTCTTCCCAGCCTCAGATCCAGGCAAAATTACAAAATTTTCTGGTTGAAAATTTTATCAAATATGGCGACCATGTTGATCCGAAATTTTTCCAAAAATGTTGCTACTCAAGGCTTGTATGTGGCCAGAAGATGTCTAGCAAGTGATGCAGGAGCTGCAACAATGCCTTTTACATTTGGATCACCTCATACAGTAAGAAATTTGAATTATGGATTTCTCCAAATGTACAATGACAATTACATTTAAGTGATAGCTGATCAACTGGTCAAATATGTCTCGAATAGATATCTATCTCCTTATAGACGTGCAAAATTCATTCACTCGTGCACCTTTTAACTTTCAGGCTTATTATCACAACATAGATGTTAAGCAAGTTGATGTTCCTTCTGGCACAGGAACATTTGGTATTCTTCCAAATCATGTGCCAACATTAGCAGTATTAAAACCTGGAGTTCTTACAGTTTTTGAAGATGAGGGTACCAAAAAGTTCTTTGGTAAGTGTATGAAAACTGTTACAATGAATTTCTCAATAGATGACTTGCCTTGGTAACATTTTGCTGGCAGGCAAATATTGTCAAGTGCTTTTGGACCTCACTAGCAACAATGGTTAACCTTTCCTGGGATTAATCTGTCTGGGCCTGCAAACCATTAACAAGGCAGTCATCCCTTGACAAATGAAGATTCCATATTGTGTTACTTGAGTTTATGAAAATCTTAGTTGATTACTGCTAATTTTATCTTGAAAATCCACCTTCAGTAAGCAGTGGAACAGTAACAATAAATGGAGATTCATCACTGCAAGTTTTAGCAGAAGAAGCTGTGCCCTTGGAACAGCTTGATTTAGCTGTAAGTAAAAATTTTTTCATCCCTGCTTCCTAGCATCCTTGATATTGACATGAATGACAACATCTGATGCGTGCTAGTGTATATTTCCTATACATGTATTTTCCAACTATACATTTTCCAACTATTTGTCTGAAATATATATTGTGACTCATATTTGCTAAGCTTTGAATATTTTATTTGAATTAGAAATCATTTTTTACTAATTAGGAAGCAAGACAAGGATTAGACAGTGCTCAAAATGCTGCTGCTACAGCCACAAGTGAAGAAGATAAAGCTGAAGCTCAAATCGCTGCTGAATGTTATGAGGCAATACTTAAAGCATTGGAAAGCCACTGATTATTAGTTAAATAGGCATTATTTTTGTAAACTGTAAGAGTGGCTGATCCCTAGAGAGAATGGGCATATCATTGGTGTGTTAATATGCATATTTATGCAATTGGATTTTGGCTTTTGATGTACTTGCCAATTATATGTTCTTATTATTGGAGTGAAATAGTTTTACATTTCATCTTTCTTCCATCTAAGTTTCACAAACTAATTTTCTTTATTCCTAGAATGTGTAACACAGTTTCTTGTAATCTCAACAGTTACACTCATTTCCCCCCTCTCAACCTTATTTCATAAAACATGGAAAAATTTAAACTTCTTCAAAATATGCTGAATTCGTGATAGACATCTTTACATTTACTACTGTGAATGGTAGAATTGGTTCAAAACTTGGCAGTTATATATGGGCAATGATTGCAATTCTCATTAGATATTCTTTAAGGTGAAATGTTCTATGATTTTTATCCCACAATCATGCATTTTCCAACTATACACCTCGTAAAAGAAGTCTCACATAGGTATTTGAAATTTTCGTAAATGCAAAAGGTGAATCCCAAACAGCCTATAAAATGCCAATTGCAATTGCCCTGTTCTGACACAGCAATGTAGGAATCTTCCTATACGTTTATTTATTAAACATGACTAACGTCATTCACCAAATGGCAGTTACAAAATTACTGCAGGTCTAATGGCTGCGCCTCATTCATCTCCTCAGAATTTATGACAAAATTTGTCAGAGTGGACTTTCTTTTTATGTTGTGTTTATTTACTTCTTCTAAGGTGGAATATTTTCTAATGAAACAAGATTGCGTAATTGCTTAAACACGTTTAATTCTTAATAACACAAAAAAAGGAACAGTAATTAAGCCAAAGATTAAACAAGTATTCATACGGCTACATAGAACTAGAATATGAACTGACTAAATTTTTATAAGTACTTTACACATATATACATGATTAAATGTATGAAAAATATATACAGTTCGGCAAATTATCGTAAACTACTAATGATTTACTGCTATTTACATTTTGTGTAAGCGGGTGTTAACATACACGGAGGGATTTTACATGAGAACTGTTGGTTTTTTGGTACTAGCATGCGAATCAATAATATCATCATTTAATTTAATTTAAAAAGACAATTTCCACCCGTAATACTTTACATAAGTCTACCAACTACAACAAAAGTTTCCGATGAACGGTAATCGCCAGAGCACACAAAAAGTAACAATTAATGTTTTTGTTACTTTAATAATATTTTAATCTAAATAGAAGTTGTGATCAAAAATTTGACCTAATTTACTTCGTATTTTCACTTGTCGATGCAACATTACTGAAATGAATTGTGTGTATGGTGCATCTGCAAATCTAAAAATACGCTGCTCGAAAAAAATTTCCAGAAATTCGTAGAGAACTTCTTCACATCTGTACAGTTTCAGCAATGAAAGACTAAGTCTTGTGCGATGTAGCTTAAATGGTGAACACACGGCATCTTTGAACCGCCTTAAAAATCATTTCCAATTCTCATTTACAGATCAACAGGTTCGGGGTCTTTAGCAAAAGGTTCCTATGAATGAAACAGACTCAAATTACTTTGATGAAACTCATTACTAATCGTCTAATTATAAGTTAAACTCGATAGTCAATAAAGTTAGGAGCATTTGGGGTAGCCGTTAATTGGATGTTACAGCATTCCAAAATCTAAAATTTACTTTGGGATAGGATGGTAAAAAATCAGGTAATCAAAATAATTGAGCAGCAGGTTGCAACTTTACTCAATTGCAATGCTCCACAAACCTGCAAAACCTGCGGTGATTTTCTGATTCTGAATGGTAACAGACTTCTTACGCTTGTGCCAGAGTCTATAACTTCAGTGGTTTGTGTATAAACAGGATTTTCGAATCGTAAGGAGTCCCCTCGAGAATGGCTAGATAAAACGTTACATAATTACAATTATTCTGATTGGTTATTTAAAGGTAAACCAAGTCAACATATGTAGTTACTTGCAACTGCAAGTCAAATTGAGGCAGTATCTATAAATATCAAAACCAATATATCATTACAAACTTCACACCAACCTGTATCGTTTCTGAATCTTTTTATGACATACAAGCACCATGATGCCACAGGAAATGAAAATGAACATCACCAAACCAACACTTATACCGATCGTAATAGCTAAATTTTTCAAACAACTACTGATTACAATATCCGTTGGAATTTAATGCCTTATTCAAAACTTTCAGATGTCAAATTTTGAAACAACAAAGGTGTGACATGTATACAGTATGAGAAAACGAGACACAATTGGCGGTTATTCTTACCATTTTCACGGGCAATATTCGCGCTATTCATATCATGTTCATCTTTTTTCAACTCGCAACGCTCACCAGTGTAACCATCATGGCACCTAGATAAAAACAAAACATTCAACTTGAACATGAAATGCCTTATTTTGTTTTTAAATAAAAACTGCACAATGAAAAAAAACACAGGATTGAGCATTAGTAGTATAGTGTTCAACTAAAAATAAACTTTATTATGTTATTGTTATAAGTGATGAATAAGTTTTCAAAGATACAAGTTTTACAAGCACCAAAATCTAACAATAAATTAAATTGCTTACGAACAAATAGGGCCACGTATCTCATTTCCAGGTAAACATGTTCCATTGTTGCATCTTCCTTTCTCGCACAATAAGGCTTCTAAATGTATTAAAATATACCAAACTTATTACCACAAGATTTTTAGTTTAGAGCGCAGAATAAACAACAAAGCATATATGCAGTCAATAGCATTATTTTCTTTCGTATACTAGATAGTTCATGGGGCTGTCGGCGACATAAAATTTCACACTAACACAACTCGTCATACAAAGAAAGTACAGTATAAACCCCGATCCACAAGATACGATCCGGGAGTTAATAACTACTATCTACTATACAGGATATGAAATGGTCGATATACACCCACGGCTAAAATTAACATCCGTTCAACGAACAATGACCGTTTCAATGATCATTTCTTCTCTAGAAGCAACATAGTACGACAATGCATGGTGATTGCTATGTCAGGAGCGCTTATAAACACGAGAATCTACACTCTCAAAAAAGTATTTTTCTCGTTATTGTGCTTTACTTTTTTACATTGGTGAGCAGTCAAAAACCGACTTAGGCCGAGTTAAAACGCATTAAGTTGAATGGTGAACATACACGTGGCGGCGGTATTTAGATCCCCATGATTATGCCACTGTATAAAAAATATACAAGTAATGTATAACAAAACGTGCAGGGTAGATAAATGAGCTATCTAACAAAAAAATGTCGAAGAAAGAATTTTTATCAATTGAGCATCAAGGGTCCCGTCAAAGTTGCTAAAACTTCCAAAGGTCCAATAGAAACAACATAAACATACCAGAAAGATTACAGGTCTTTTTGTCCGGCAACAGTTGAACGCCATCAGGGCAAGCACATGAATATTGATCAAACCTTTTCCACTTTTTGGTTTTATTCTTTTGAGAAAGCAAACAAAGGTGACTGCAGTCGCCATTGTATTTAAGACAAAAGTTGAAAGCTAAAACAAATATTCAAAATAAATATTCACACGGCATGTTTCAGGTAAAGCATGTAAAATAAAGTAACATACACAAAGATTAATCCCTCAATATCGTTGATTGAGAGACAAGTGCAAGACTTCTTAATACATGTAATTTTATAAAATCAGGTTTGATTCGGTAATAATTCGGTTTACGAACAGAATTAAGTCTCAAAGGAAACTATAACACGGTCAATGCTATGACAAATACATTATTTAGGAATACACGATTTCAACACTTGTTCATCACTTGGTTAACTTACCTCCAGGTTGTCGTTGAGGATGTATCATATTTATTCCAAGTGTGTTGACTAATCTTTTCTTAAGAACTGTCACGTTCTTTCCAGTAAATTTATTTGCTTTATAAATTGCAAATTTACTCCAATCGCTCCAGTAAATTTGATCTTCAAACAAGGATATCGAGAACGGATGGAAAATCGTATCACTAGTTAAAATTACACGACGCTTCTCGCCATTTAAATCACAATATTCGATCAGATCGAGTTTAGCATCCACCCACCAAATGCGATCTATTGTATAATCGATAGTAAGAGAATTTGGCCAAATGATTCTAGTCGTAATAATTGCTTTACGGCTGCTTGGTTCACCATCCATACCAGCCTTCTCGATTTTAGGTTCAACACCCCAATCTGTCCAAAACATCTCCCTATGCACAGTAAAAAAAGTTTGAGAATAATTCTGCGATGATTTTCGCAACGCTAATGAAGACACTAAACGCAAGTATATTCGGAAAATAAAATAGATCTGACAATTTTTAAAAGCAAATGTTTTGTAAAATGCATCAAAACAAATTTTAAAGTTTAGTAACCACACATACAATCACCCTCGTTTACAGGGAAATATATTCACGACGCTTTACAACGATGTGTAAATATCGAGTTCGAATTATCCGCAACACGTACAGTGGGTTACCAAAAAGAGTGTTCCCCCATAAAAAATAGGTTTAGGTACATAAAATTCAGTAATTACAGTTTAAAAATAATATGATACTCTAACAAGATATATATGTAGCAAAGAACAATACTCAAGCAGTACTTTACGCACTATGAAAATGCGAAAAGCTAACTAATATATCGTTGAATTATGTAAAAATATTATGCATTTTCCATTAGTAATTTGAGACAAAAATCAAGGTAACAGACAAACTCACAAAACGTACATATGCCAAAATGTCAGCCCAGCAACACTGAAATAATTCGGTTGATTAATACATATTGCAAGAAAAATTAACACTAACATCAGGCAATTTTCAAAATCCACGCAATGGATACACGGAAAAAAGGCTGAGATGTCAAGGGTGAAAAATTAATCTCTCCCAACAGCATGTGTGGCGAACAAATAGATTTTGCAAAGTTTATGAACCAACAACCCCCATATTTAATGGAGGGCCAGTTTTTTTTGGTCACACTGTGCTTTGCTTTGCAATTGAAATAGAAGGCTACACTTTATCCAAACTTGTTTCATATATAAATTGTACATTAGTGCATTAATATATCAGTATAAATCTCAATAAATTCCCTAAACACGATTTGCCACTTCAATGTTATAATTTTCAAATCAAAAGTCGTTCCTTTTACAATTCCCTTCTCGTGAAAACTGGAAGGAAACCGTACAACAAAACTAAGAAAAACATTTACTTGTTTAATGTAAACGAAACTACAGAAATTTCTGAAAAATCGACACTTGCAAAAATATCGTGAGAATTTTCGTAAATCATCACAATCACGGCAATTTTAACACTTACATAGACCGTGAATAGAGACGCATGAAATAATCAATTCCTTAAATTCGGATCACGTTACGTTCACAATATTCTTTCAGTAGCAAATGCCTTTAACAATAACATATTGATACTAGGAAAAAGAAAATTTGAAATTCACATACCCATAGTAAGGATGAAGTACAATATCGCGAGGCATATCCAAGTTAGTATCGATTAAAGTAGAACGATATCGACCATCTAATTCAGCAACTTCAATTCGTTTTCTTCCAGCATCTGACCAATACAACTTTCCTGTGACCCAATCTACTGCAAGACCATCTGGGGAAACAACATTTTTGACAATAATTTTTTTATCATGTTCTATTTTGCTACTCAGGTTAGTCTGTTGAATTGAATTGCTCTTAATGTCAGTCCAAAACATCAAGGCCTTGCCAAAATGATAGTCTACTGCGATGATTCCTGCAAAGTGCGGAACTATGCCAAAGAAGTCCGACTGTTTCTTGTCTAAAGTGAGTTTTCTGATTGAATAATGATCAGAAAATACGAGGTACGGGTGTCTATCTAAAAATAAGAAAACAACAAGTAAAAATATAATTTGAGAACAAATGGGAGCATTTCATAATAATCAAGTATCAAACAAACAGAAATATATCAAAGGAACAAGGTAGACACTAAACATAAATAAATACATGTCCTTATAAATATTTGCAATAAATATAAACACCTATAGCTTTGCAAGTTCGATGGTCCTTATCCAAGCGATAGCCAGCAACACAACTGCATCTTAATGGCTGGACAGTCTTGTTAAACACCTCACAGATCTGACTACACTGCTGAAATTCATCACATTCGTCAATTTCTAAATAAGCAAAGAAAAAACATTAAGAAATTGCAAAGAACACAATTCGAAGTTAACAATGTTTACTTCTACAAGTCTTTTCATCTTCTTCAAGTTTATATCCTGGACGACAAGAGCAAAAATGACCAAACTTTAATTTGTTACATTTATGGTCACATCCACCATTGTCATTAGAGCATTGTGGTTCACCTAGAATACACACAAACAAACAAGTTTTTGGTGCATTCATTTAAGCATTTATAAACTCTAAATTGTTACATACATTGTGACACATCAAATTAGCCAAAAATGCATGAACATTATATCACTATATAAATATATCTTTGAGGACATTTTTTTAATGACAAAATTCACATTAACTGTCTTCAGTAATTGACTTCCTTAACTGTAAACATAATTGTCTACATGAATTTTGACATACAAGATGATAAGGTATTTTTCAAATTTGGACTTTTTTGTTAGTAATTAAACATTTACATTCAGTTTGATGCAAATACCAAAGTCACTAAAACCTACAATTTTACTAAAAGATCCCAATTAATCAGCCTATAGCTCACTTTTTAGCAATTTTATGCAAAGTAGGTTGTGATAAACTCATTCCAAGGTTGTAATTCTTATTGATTGGAGTTGTTTTTGTTAAGGGTTGTTTTGATAATAGTTTAAAATCCTGTTTAAATAATTTGAACCAAATTTACTGTCTATTCATTTAGCTAACTGTAAAACAAACATTAATTTTTCTTTCAACATCTACAAGAGCAGGATACAAACTGTGTTAGTTAAATTTGACAAATTAGTGACAAAATTCTAGCTGTGCTAAGTTATGTAAAAACAAATTGTTTTCAGGTTTATATGGGCAAAGGTCTGTTGTCAATAGAAATATTTATATTTTCAAACAATTAAAACTATTGAGAAGAAATCTGTCAATTTTTCTACAAAACTCAGCTTACCACAATTGTACTTTTCATCTGTACCATTGGGACAATCATTGTCACCATTACACAGCATCGATCTTTTAATGCACTTTTTAGAAATGGGACACATAAATTCATCTTTTTCACATTCTACAAAAACCCATAATCACTGACTTAAAACCTGTTTGACTGTTAACCTAAAGTTCATTATTTATGATAATCAACATGTAAAATATCAAGTCTTCAAAACCATTTGCTTTAGCAATATTTTAACTAATAATTATCTCTTATGGATTTTAAGAAAAAAAATTATATTTCAATACAATAATTAATTATAATTCAGATGGCTTTGTTTAAATTAAAATTCCACAAACAAAACAGATCTTCTGAATATGGTGTAAACGATATTTAAGATGAGAATATATGATATTCATATTAAAGAAAAGGAAATCAAGAGTACGTAACCAATGTGACAACTGTTATACACTAGTTTCATCCTAACAAATTGTTTTACACTAGTTTTAATGGTACCATAGTTAAATTGACTAAATTTTGTACCTTTACTACAGTGCTTTTCATCATCGCCAGATGTGCAGTCACGGTCACCATCACAAACCCACTTATGAGGAATACAACTTCCATCTTTACAGTCAAATCGATCAACATTACATTTTTTTCTATGTTTATGAGTTGAATTACAATTAGGTGGTTCATCAGATTGATCTTCACAATCGTAGTGACCATCACAGTATGCTTCTTTCAAGATGCAACGCTTCTTGGTTGTACATTGGAACTCCAAATCATGCTTACACTCTGTATAAGCTGCAATTGGCAGAAAATTTAGTTTACTAATCCCATGTACTTCATTCATAAGCTGGAATAAATGAAAAGGTAAAAGGACAAAGTGTACGGACATTGGCACAGGTCAGCAAAGTTTTGCTGATCTAATTTTGATAAGTAATGTTTTTAGGTAAGACTGCTGAATGCTGATTTGAGTTTCAAAGACTGAATACTTATGTGTTTTTCAAAACAGTACATTCTAATCAGTAGCAAATCCAGGGTGGTCAAAATACATTACTGAAAATATATTTCCATTCAATTTAAAATATTTTGAAGTGAATCTTGTTGGGAGTATTTTAGTGTTAAATATACTTTGGAAAATTTAAACCGACAAGATTGTTAAAAAATACTGTTGAATTAAAAATGAGCTTCTATAATTTATTTTGATATACCCTAGATTTACCACTGGCTCTAAAAAATTTGGGTTCTGGGTGCATAATTTATAAAAACTGTAACAGTGACTTGTTTCAAGATACATTGTACCAAGTCCCAGTTGACAAGATGAATGAGCCAAACTTACTGCAATTATCTTCATCAGAATTGTCATCACAGTCATCATCATGATCACACTTCCAATTTATATCAATACACTGGTTATTATTGCATTGAAATGACCATTTAGGACAAAGACGCACACCTATTATATGTACAATTAAAACCACAATGAGGAATAAATATTCTTAGTGAGTTTTATATGAAAATGAACATGAAAAAGATGAAATCTGTTATCATAAACAAACTCACCACATTCAAATTCATCGCTTCCATCATCACAATCTTTGTAATTATCACATTTCCAAGATTCAATGATACATTTTTTACTGTCTTGGCACTTGAACTCGTTGTCAGAACAAGATATATTTGCTACAATAAAGGGACTGGTTACAAAATTATCACGTCACAACAGAGACACCAAACAAAAATGAGTATACCACAACGTGAAGGTGATTCATCAGATCCATCTTTACAATCTTTGTAACCATCACAAATCATATATTTAAATTTACACTCTTTACCACAAGAAAACTTGTCTTGTGGACAAGAACCTAGAAAAGATGCATCACAAATGCTACATAAAACACACACATTTAGTCAACTCCAATGATTGCTTCGTGAAAAAACGCCACAAATATAAAATTAGTGCAAAAGTAAATTTCGAAGTAAAAATATATCATCAAGATGTGCAAAGGAGGAACACCTACTCACACACAAAGTACTGAAGTTTCATGTTTTAAAGATTGAAAATGTCAACAATCGTTAATTAATTGGAAAGCCTAGTGTCGAGCCGAAAATGAAAGAAACTTAAAGTAATTATTTAAGCGTCGATTTCCAGTCAGCTATCTTATCTGCACATACTGTTGACACACAAAATTACAAACTGTAAGGTTGATTACCACAACTCATTTCATCGGAATGGTCAGAACAATCGTTTTCACCGTCACACTCCCAATCTTTGGGCATGCACTTTCCATCGCTCTTACATTTAAACTGTACCTCGTCCGGTTTACATGAGAAGTCTATATAAAGAACAAGTAACAATACTGTAATACAATATTTCGCATTTTATCAAAATACTACATTTGCCATAACAACAGTAAAATAAAAGAATCTAGTAGAACGATTTCGTTCGTTAGTAGTTATTAGGATTTAATACCATTTACAACTACTTAACACGACAACAAAATAACAAATCGGTTATAACAAAACAACAGTAAATGTGAACTTATTCAACAACGTCAACGTTGAATCTTTGTTTTGTTACGTTGTACACGCACCGTTTGCCTTTGACTTTAAAAAATAAACAGAAATGGCTAAATACACCAATAAATAGATTCCTTTGCTCCTTCTGTTTATCACCACCATCTTAATACTTTTCAAATGAATGCAATCTGTTCAATTAAAATAAAGAAATCCATGTTTTAGATTTGTTAAGACATTGCGTTTGTAATTTTCAATACAATATGGCGCGAAACAATAAAACGATACGAAATCAATTATACTTTTTATACCATATATGGTATAACAAAAAGCACGTGAACCAAATTAGGACTTTTGATTGGGCGCTGGCCGGCACGAACAGCTGTTTACGTTTTCATTCATGCTTCGTGCAATATTTGTGATTGTGAGAGGTTAGCATTTGATTGGGTGATCAGTAAACGTTAGTCTAACAATTTGAAATTTTGCACTTCGATGGGATGAAAAAAGCCCATTTAATTACAAGCAAATGATACAACTTTGTAACGAGCATTTGAAGCGGGCGTTTTTACGGATAAAATTGATACGATTAGATCTAAACTAACGTGCGTGGTATAAAATAAGTTCAAACTACGATAACAAGTTATTTGCATACAAAGCTTTGGGCAAAAGCGTAAGTGCAGCATACAAGTGGTAAATCCAAGAAAAACTGCTGCGCCCATTTACATAATAGATTGCACCTGCAGCGGATCTAGGGTACGTCAAAAAAAATTAACTGCAGCCCATTTTGACAAGTATTTACATTTCTAAGCAAGCACCTTAGAGATAATGCCATGGGTAAAATTGTATTCTTTAGAAAATCAAAACTAATAGTGTTTTTCTGAAAGTACTTTGAATTTAAATTTGAGCAGCTATAATTTAATTTGACAATCGCTGGATCTGCTACTGCATTGCACAATGGTTTTGAGCAACTTCAAGAGCTTGGTTATAGGGATTAGCCAGAGGCTGCATCCCCAACTCCCCACAAAAATAAAACAAACAAAACACAACTCATCAAACAATATGTCACAATGCTACATTGATTCCTTCATTTATTAACAAGCTCTATTTAAACAGGATGACCCAATCAGTAAAAACTTATCTCCCTTGGAATCCTAAACACAACAACAAACAATATTCCAGATCATGGTGTCCGGGACCATTATCTCTAATTTTAAGATTTTTTCACAGTAAAATTCATACTTGCAGCCCCAGTAATTAAAACATGAGGGACACATCATGTAAATTGCTTGGAAATTGGTATTGCAAGAAAAGAGAAATGTTATGCTCTACTTTACCATAAAAACAGGCCCAGATTAGATGAGGTATATTGCTGGGTAATTTTAACTGATATATAAGTGATATAAATTAAATAAATCAATCTTTAAAACTCTTGACTATGTAATTTTACATCAAATTTAGAAACATGTTTGTAGCAAACTATCATGAAATAAAGTGCCTAGTATATTGTACATATTTTGTTTTTATTTTTTGTCTAATTTTGTTGCTAACTTTTTTCTACAAATTAATCATAAGTTTTTGGAATCAATAAAAAATGTTAGCAAAAAATTTGGAACATTTCTACAGTTTAAAATGACTTTTCTTACCATTTTTATCTTTGATGGTAACTTTGAAATTTCAAACACAACAACCTTACCAGCAGAAAGTTAATATTTTCATATCACCCCACTTGAGTAGTTTGCTATTGTTGTGATGAAGCATGTAAAATATGTGCTTTTGTGAATTGAGTGGTTAAACATGTAAACAAACGTTAGTTGAATTTCTCTATTTACGATTTATCTTCGTATTTTTAGCATCCATGATTTATCACTTCATAAAACTTTCGCAATCCCCTTACTTTACTACCCCCCACGAACCATTCCACTTATATCCGTGTATTGGCGAAACATTGCTAACAATGATCTACATTTTCGATACGCACATATTTACAAGATGTTTATATTTGCACATAATAGTACAAATGTACGTAGTGCGAGATAACGAATAAACCTTCACGTTTTTATTGAAACATTAATAACTATATTAATGAAAAAATCAATATCTTATTGACAACAAGCAGGGGAAATTTGATATTTTCATCCACATATTTCAAACAATACCACAATACGTGATCGACATTCAACATAAACACTTCGCTGAAAAACCTTGATACTCAGCAAGCGAAATATAGAAATGATAATCTTTGTTTTAGTTATAAGATTTTTGAGTGTTGCACTTTGTTCTATGGAACAAAAGTTGTCAAAATATACATTAAAACCTCATCATTTCCCGTCTTGTGATCAATACTTAAACATGCCATCTTACCATGCGGTATGCACGGTAAAGTTTAATTCTAAAGACATTACATGGCCATAAACATACCACAACTTGTTCATAACATTTCAGCTTTATGAAACCTCGGTTTATTTACAATTTTCCCTTAAAACCGATGTATTCGACAATGGCAATACGCAATCTTAATCCAAAAGGCGTGTGAATAATCACCTTTGGCTTCGGACGGAAACGAAAACGTCATACGTCAATTCCACGCATTGATTACACGTCGACGTAAGCGAGAAACGCGGAGAAAACGATTTAGAATTTAGAATCACTGAGCTGTGTATGAACTACCTGGGTGTATATATCGAAATACCAAATAAATATATTAGTAATTTAACACTTCATTCCCTCCTTATTTATCAAATAACCGAAAATGCGTATCAAATAAATATATTTGCAACACAAACAGCCAGAAATGCGTATTTCTGGCCATGTGTAGTCTACAACAGGGAGAGCGGAGTCAGGGATCTAGAGGGTGTAAGCTTTATCACCAATATTTTTTCAAATGAACCTCACTAACGTTGCTACCGGGAAATGTGAGAGTTTTTCAAGGAAAGGAGAGGGGAGCAAATTCATACATCACTCCCCTCCCCTAAAAATATGTAGAAAAGTTCCTCGTGGTCCATGCAAGACTATGTTGCAACAAATTGTGATGTTTTTGCAGTAATTTTACTATAGCAAATTATTTTTCAATAATATAATTTTGTATTCGGTATAAAGTAAGAGGAGGTGAGGAGTTCAAAGAAAGTTAAACGGATGTGTTAAGGATATACTTTTTCAAGTTTGATTCTAAGAAATCGATACGGAGATTATCTTTCGCCAGTCTGCATGTGAACATTATTGACATTCTACAGTTAAACGCAAGCTGCAGTAGTCAAAATTGAGTTATTGAAGAATGAGTCATTCAAAGCTTTCGCTCATTGCATTCATTCTTTTTCTGAAAATCTTCTCATCAAAGCAAGAATCACTTTGTGACAGTAAGTATTTAAGTCGATCCTTTATGTAGCGAGGAAACGACATTTTATTTGTCACACCCATTTCACGCGCATTTTTATCTAATATAATGCCTCAAAAGTTTATAGACATTTTAGTCTACCTGTAGCATTTGGTTCATCGCTTAAATATATCTGATGAAAACAGTGAGATAGTTTTAACAAAGTACTCCTTTGTTTCTCACTATAAATGCGTCGATTAACAGCTTATGAGGCGCTTGTAATTACTAATTAGACTTCATAATTCATTTAACTCTCGAGTTTGCTAATATGGTCATTTAATGCTTGTTTTCGCATGATAGTTACCCACCATCCTAAATCTGTTGATTCCGTTCAAAAATTTGTACATGTTTATTTTCTACGTTGTTATGTATAAACCACAGAGAGGTCAAATTTCACAACTAGAATAATGTATTTTTCTTACATTAATTAGATGCAAAACTGCTGCACTTTAACCGGTTTTACGCATATGAAATGATTTGGTAAAGAATAAGTATTTAAACGATATCAGTTCGACCATTCAGTCTGTCAATTTACGTTTCATAGTTAGATTTTCTGTGGTATGGTAATTATCTTAATTTGAACGATCAAATTTCAGGAACTAGAGCTCCTACATTCTTATGTATCTCTAACAGGGGAAGCATGTCCTGAGGAGGAGAGGGAGTTTGGGAAGCATGTCCTAAGAAGGAGAGAGGGTTGGGGAAGTATGTCCTAAGGAGGAGAGGGAGTTGGAAAAGTATGTCCTAAGGAGGAGAGGGGGTTGGGGAAGTATGTGCTAAGGAGGAGATGGGGTTGGGGAAGTGTGTCCTAAGGAGGAAAGGGGGTTGGTGAAGCATGCCCTAAGAAGGAGAGGGGGTTGGGGAAGTATGTCCTAAGGAGGAGAGGGGTTGGGGAAGTATGTCCTAGGGAGGAGAGGGGAGTGGGGAAGTGTCTCTTTAAAGAGGAGAGGGAGTATGGGAAGTATGTCCTATAGAGGAGAGGGAGTTTTAGAAGTATGTCCTAAGGAGGAGAGGGGGCTGGGGAAGTATCTCTTTAAGGAGGAGAGGGGGTTGGGGAAGTATCTCTTTAAGGAGGAGAGGGGGTTGTGTGCAGCCTCTCCTAAGGAGGAGCGAGGCTTAGGTGGAACTCGCACTCAAAAAAATTCAAAGTTAGCAGCGTTGTCAGGCAAAAATATTAAGTTGTCGAACGGTATCGGACAAGAAAGTGTTTGAAGAGAATCGTCTTTTGGGAAATTTAAACATTACTTGCGAATTTTTTTGATAAAATCTTATAAAAAAACAGATTTTGATAGTACTACCTTGCAATATTACACAATAGTATTATTTTTGGTTTTCTGCAGTCAATACACCAATATTAGGTACTCAAAAAAACTTGACTCCAGAACTAAAATATAGCCTATTGATTAGCTAAGTGCGAAGTCTAGCTGGGGCACACCACACGATACAGGCAACACCTTTCGTATCACAAAAGAAAAGATAACTAGAAATCAATAAAAAGACTGTTATACATCATAAAGACGTTTTAGAAACTTCGACAAGACAAATTTTATTGGTGAGTAACGTGCTGAGCAAATACAACAAGCACTGTGGTCCGATTGTAAAAACTTCTTTTGCTTTCATTCACATCCCGTTTTATCGTGTTGAGAAATGTAATCACAGCATATGCCTCTTGCAAATGGAGTATCTAATTAATTAAAGTAACTAATTTTTGTTGAACTTGTTTCTGTGGTTTACACTTTGTATTCGTTACAAGAGTACAACTAAAAACGTACGACAGCTCTGGAAAATGTTTGAAAAAGTCAATTTTTTACTTAAAATTTACTGTTATTTACCGTCGAGATTGATTTGTACTGTATGTGATGTACATTGACGATGAAACTGTAGATGATGCACATTGTTATGTAGGATCCGGAAATCCTCGACCTCCACCTGGTGGTTGTTGTCCTCCGGAATATACACATCAATGTTGTCCAGTTGCTGGTGAAAATGAAGTAATACAATCTTGTGTGAAATCAAAAAAACCCACGAGCTTCAATAACACTAAGTTTGATCCTAAAAAGATTGTGTTCATAGTTGGCGTACTCAAGCTTGTGCAGGTGGATTTTACTTAAATCAAAGTGAACCAAATCCTCAACCCAAACCTTGTCCTTCAGGTTGGTAAACATTTCTGAAAACTCCATCAGCCAGTTATTATAATTTATGTGGTGTGATAACTCTAATATTAAGGAATATGGCTTCCGCAAAAATTGTATCTGAATCCTAATTATACTTTTCACTCATCCTTAAAAATGTAACTAAATTATAAACAAATTGTTTGACAAAACTCATTTTGTGAAGAAAATTCATTTGAAAATTTAGGATTCTTCTGTCCACCTAAACAATTCTGTCTTATACCCTGTCCATCAGGAGCTTACTGTGTACCAAAGAAAAAGAAGCTTGAAGGGGTAGGTATCCGTATTGTATAGTTCAAGTCCCTCGTTGTTACTTCAGATAAGCTTAAGTTTATTTATACGAGTTATATACATGTCACGCTTCATTTAAAATGATAAATAGAGCTGATTATTTAGTCCGAAATTATTTTTACTGTTATATGATAGCATAGAATGAACTTTTGGGTCCCTGCGCACGGACCCACTGCACCCATTGGTTAATATGGCACTGGCCTTGATTGAACTGCCTTGGAAGTGGACTGACACTGCCTGGGAAAAAACCATCCATAGACAAAATGATCAAGTCTTATGTTTTTGTTTGGACTTGTTCATGTTTGATCTTGGTAAATTTATGAAAATGTTTATAGTAGTGTCAATTAACGATATTTTATTTTTCTCCTTACGTCCACAGGATAAATTCAATGTGGTGGTTTTGGTGTGTGCTGTGGTAAAAATGAACATCCACTAATACTGAACACTTCTGTAAGAAAATGTAACGACGTTGAAGATAAAAATTGTTTATGTGGTGGTTATGACAAACCTAAACCTTGTCCTGAAGGCTACTATTGTCCTACACCGAATGTTAAAAAACCATGTGAGCCTGGGTACTACTGTCGTGCAGGTAGTACTGCGCCTGATCCTTGCCCGGCAAGTATAATTTTTATTAATTTGTAATAATGCCTGAGATGTTGAGAGAATAAGGATATTAATTTTCTCATATTTTTGCAATTCAAATTTTATAATTTGTAGCCTAGGACACAGAAGTTCGTCTAAGTCTTAGGGCGTGCTATATTTTAAACATTCGAGACTATAAATGTACTCATATACATCCTATTGTACCTCAACGTATCCGAAAGTGGCGGATGATGTTAAACGGCAAATCAAGGATAAACATTTTAACATTACTATTTTTTTCCTAATATTTTTCAGTGGCTTACAAGTTGTAAAAAGAAAAGCTCTGCACCGATCATCAACTTCATTTCTCCATTAGTAATTCTTTTTATTGTCCTAATCTTAACAACTCTACTGGTGTTGTATAATAAATGGAATAAAGTCAAGCTCTATTACAATCGACTTCGAAATGGAGAAAGTTTTCTGTCAAAAGAGTTTGTCAGCGTTGACTTTGGCAGAATGCAAAACATTGTAAAGGAAGATGAAAACCGCTTTCATGAAACTGAGAAATACACCATTGACATAAGCTTTGAAAACTTGGGTCTGACGTTAAAGTCTGTAAGTGTTTTTGTATAGATGAGTGTTTTGGAAATTCTGCAAATTATTTTATTTAATTGACAAAGCTAGATCAGTGCCATAGATCGGTTTGCACATGCAGGGCCGGACACCGGCCAATGCTAACTAAAATGCAAACTCAGCAATAAACCAATTAGTGTACGCGCTGTCTTGTTGTTATTTTATATTTAAAAAATATAATATGTACGCAATTCTAAGTTAGAGTTCTCGGTCTTAATTTGAAATACTGTCCTTTGAAATCGTACATAGAGCTTTTTTTATCGTGATAGTTACGTATTATCTTTCTCTTAGTGAACGTCATGTTTTCAAATCGTAGACACAATAGCTCAATCTCATCCACAAACCAAAAAAGTAAACATGCTAAAGGGATAATTTCTGACATCTCACAATTTCCAAAGTTTTTCCTAGATTAGGATTTTTCCTTTTTTTTTGTTAGGGAAATAGAAAGGTTGTACTACAAGGAGTCACAGGTCATGTACGCTCAGGAGAGGTAACTGCTGTAATGGGACCATCAGGAGCCGGTAAAACGACGTTCCTCAACACGTTGAGTGGTAAAGCTTATTACGGGGTATGATGAAATATTTAATTTTCAAATTATGATATTCATTTTGATGCATTGAAAACTAAAACTGAAATATTTCAATAGAATTAACTTCATTATTTTGATTTGTGTTCTAGATAAGAACTGGAAAAATATTATTCAACGGTGAAGCTGTAACAGGAATAAAAGAATTTAGATCTATAACAGGATTTGTGCCTCAGGTTATTTTGTTTTTAATTTCTTGATTTACTGTCCAGATGAATAGTTCTTGTTTCTTATCAGTGTGTTGTTTGTTGGGGCTCAGCACATGTGAAACAGTTGTAGGAGAACCAAAGTATGGGGAGAGGAAGGTAGAGGAAGGAGCACAGCAGTATAAGACCTTCAAGAGTTAACCTGGAAAGTAGCAGAGTTATAAGTTTGCAAGAGTTTAATGCTGCACATCTTTGGACTTTCAACATTGTAATGACAACATTGATGTATTTTTAACAGGAAGATACGATGCATAGGAATCTCACGGTTTATGAAGTTTTATTTTACCAAGCAATGTTACGTTTACCATCTGAAACTAAAAAAGCAACCATAGAGTTGAAAATAAAGGAGGTACATTTATTAACTATAAAAGAAAATTATTCTTTTCATTTCTTCACCGATGAACACCAAAATGACAAATCTACACCACTTATAAAATTTCATTGTTCTGCTTTGAGCATTCAATTAAAGTAATAGCGTTCCCGCTTTTATGACCTGTCATTTTACTTCTCTCTGAAATTTTGTAGACACTGAACATACTTGAAATTTCTCACGTTGCTGACTCGCTTATCGGGGATGAGGTAAGCCTTAAAAAGTAAGTCTCTCTCTCTCTGCCAGTAGAGAGGATTTATAAAAATACATATACTAATAAATTGAGGAAACAAGAGGAATTTCTGGAGGACAACGAAAAAGAGTAAACATTGGAATGGAATTGATTGCTGATCCAACTTTGCTTTTTTTGGATGAACCTACCAGGTACATATAAACATTAAAAGTTTATTGTGACCTCTCAAAAAAAGCATTGAATAGTTTATTAAAAAGGATTTGATTCTATCATACGAATTTTTATTTTTTTTCCATTACTTCAGTGGTTTAGACAGTACATCAAGTTTGTCTGTGTTGAGATCACTACGAAAAGTAGCTGAGCAAGGAAAATTGACGGTGTTGTGCGTCATACATCAACCTCGTTTTGAAATATTTCGTAAGTATTTAAATGGTTTTGTTAGCTACGGCTATATGATCATATTGTTTATGTTGTTGACATGCCCAGACAGAGAAGACGCGGCCACAATTTTAAATTTTCGTTTTAAAACCAAATATAATAAAATGTTGAAGTATGCATTCATGTTCAACCCAAAAAAAGCAATCTTGACAAGTTTCCAATGCAGTACTTTCTAATTCATGAAATAGTCTCATTTGATCATTCTAAGCCTGTGTGTGCCAGTCATACAATAAAACTATGTACAGCGCAGTTAAAAAATACAACTTTTTTCATGTGATTGTTAATCTGCATTTAACAATTTTCAGGAATGTTTCACAACATTTTGCTTCTTGGTCCTGGCGGTAAAACAGTTTATCAAGGCAACGTACCTAACGCAGAGGAATACTTTTCAAACCTCGGATTTAAAACACCTGCAAATGTTAATCCGGCTGACTTTTATATGGATGTGATTGGTGGCTCAGTCGAGTCATCTAAAAATGGAGAAATTGATCTATTTAATGCCTGGAATGACCACCCACAAAGTACTATGATCTCCAGTCATGACGAAGAACAACCCAAACCTAAAGGTAAAGACTAATAATAAAAGTAAAGCACAAATATTTTTGATCAGATTTTCCCTAATTTGATTTTTGCTGTTCATAAATCTTTGATCTTTGCTTTTTTTATTTCAGTAAAAAAACGTGTTCTTCCTAATCCGTTTATTCAGCTTCTCATATTCACTCAAAGAGAATTTATTCTTCAATATCGATCAAGAAAAACTTTGTTAATTGATACATTTCTTGTTTTCTTTGCTGGAGCTGTTCTTGGAGCACTTTATCTTGAGGTAAAATTTTTCTAAATTGAAGACCATCAAGCAAAATTATTTTTAAATCAACACATAGCTAATATTGCGAAATTAAGTTTTATTATATAATTTTTATTTAACCATCAAGTTTTATTTTTGAACATTCAATAAAGGTAACTTTAGAAAAGTTTACTGGTTTGACAAGAATGAGTGGAATGGCTATTGGTCTGACGACAATGTTAGCATCTCTGAGATGTTTTGGAAATCACCGAACTACATTTTGGAGGTAGCTATGAAAAGATTACTGATCTTAAATTTATTTTTCTAAATTTATAGGAAATTTTAACGTTAATGTCTTTGATTTGTATTTTATCTTTAGAGAAAGTGCTGCTGGTGTAAATCGGCTTAGCTATTTCCTTGCTGTAAACTTTTCCCAAATTCCCATCTTATTGATTATGCCATTGGTCTACCTGAGCTTTCTATACACTCTTACCTCACCTAGATGTAAGTAAAAAGTGAAGAAACTTCAAGTACAAAAATCATCAAAATAACCTCTTACGATGATAACATGTTTCTGTCAACTAAACCTTTCTCACATTTTCAGCCTATCTTGCGGCGCATTACTTAGCTGTATTTTGTGCTCAGTTTTGCTGCTCCGGAATTGGTTACGCAATATCCACAATATTTAATCCTAAGAGTTCCCAAATGGCATCTGTCGTTGTAGTATTAGTTATGGCTATGTTGTCTGGTAAGTTTGATTAAATATTTTTCCTGAATATTCATATAATACAGGTAATACAAAGGTCAAGACCAGTTTTATGATTGTTGTTAGACGTACGTTATGATAATCAGCCAAAATCTTTCTATGCAAAAAATTTTTCGATTTTTAAGATAAATTATCGTTGCTTTCAACTTGCAAAGCAAATTTGACACACGACGCAATTTTTTCGACAGTTAGATAAAATAATGCGACTCAAAAACTTATTCTGAACACTATCTCAGTCAAGAGATGTAGTCACAACTTTTTTCAGAAATATTAATAAATATATGAACAATTTATTTCTTATGTAATTTGGCTTTCATTTATATTTTCCAGGTTTTTCTCCTACTCTATGCAAGCTAGACAAATTAACATTTTTTGGACCACTTGCTTACAACCTTTCATTTATCCGTTGGTTTGTCGAAGCCCTGTTTGAAAAGGAGGCATTACGTTATCCTGACGTTGATCGTCCAATACGTGACGGTATCGCTTTTCAAGATCATTACAGTTTAGATGGAAACTATTCTTTCTGTTTGGGAATGATTGTTATCATGGCTTTCGTTTATCGTTTATTTGCTTTATTGTTTTTGTTGTTTACAAATCGTGGAAAACAGCAATAAAACAAAGCAAGAGGATAGTTTTGCAAAGGTATAACTCGTATATATCATAGGGTAGTAATGAAAATTTCAGTGAAGGCAAGGAAAACATCATTGCTCATCGTGTCTTCAACGTTTTTATAGCTAGTAGTTGCATGTATTTGTGAAAAAATATTATAACGACATAGTGTTTTGTAAGCTGTGACACCTGTTACTTTTTGTCTTGGTAACTTTTTATGTCATATGAATAAAATTAACTATCAATTATATACCTTCAATGAATTTGGCAAAGTGAACAATTTATGATAAAATTCTCAGGTTAGAATGTCGATGTTACAATTTACTTGAAAAATCTCCTATTATGTCCAATGCACAACATACCAACGTCAATCATAATATTATGTATTATAACAACCCCAATACGTAATAGATTCAATCAAAACAGCAAATTAATTTTGTGCGAGGTATTCAGTTAATGCATGGAATTAAGAAAATATAAAGAAAGTCTTTGTTTGATTCTGAAAAAACAACAACAAATTCGTCTAAGAAAGTCTTTGTTTGATTCTAAGATAACGACACCAAACTTGTCTGTTACTGTCAGATATGTAATATTGTGAGATTTCTCCCCTTTTATTGCTTAGTCATGTTACTTATATACAGATTATTACTTAATTATAATATAGGTAGTATGACGTACGAAATACTAATAATTTGCATAATAACTATACTACACCTCTCCCCAAACTAATTAAATATATTTTTTTTTGTATTTTGTATCTATAAGTTCGTATATGAAAATATTAATTGTTTCTTTTTTTTGCTTTAAATAATCTCTAAATTAACTTTTAACTTGTCCGTATCGAATAGGGGCTTTTTTTGTAGGCAAAGGATACCGCCGTTCTTTTTCCTTTATACTTTCTTCAATGGGTTCTCCTAGACTTTTCCCATTTTCTATCTTCTTGAAAAATGACGAATTACGAGTAAGCAACATTTTATCTTTCTTCGCTGTTACCATAGAACCTTTTCTTTCCACGACTTCACATGGCTTACCATCATAGGGTGTTTGTTGTTTATTAGTGGTCGTATCTTTCTTTACTAACACCATATCACCTACTTTAATTTCACTTGTCTTTACGTTCCTGTTATTGTCTGCATGTAATTTCATCTTCAATTTTGCTCTTTCATCCTGTACTCGAATTCTTTCCTCTGTATCTTCATAAAATGGTTCTTCAGGTAAACGTACTTTCATTGGTCGACCGAATAAAGCCATAGATGGAGAGATTTTGGTCGAACTATGAGGTGTGGTACGATAATTACGCAGGAACCTGTGGATTTCTTGCTTCCAATTTTTTCCTTCCATTATCGCAGCCTTTATTGTCTTTTTGATAGTACGCATAAATCTTTCCACTTCCCCGTTGGCGCGTGGCCAATAAGGAGTAACTTTTCTGTGTTTAAATCCCAAATACTTTGAAAACTCGTAAAATTCCTTGCTGTTGAATGGCGGTCCATTGTCTGAACGTATCGTATCTAGTATCCCGAACTCCGAAAGTATCTTATCCAAATAGGATATAACAGTCTTTGCGGACGTTGATTGGATTATCTCTACAATGGGATATCTGGAAAAATCATCATACAAAACAAACAAATATTCACCTGTGCCTGTAGGAGCTACACCAAAGTCCATACTTAGCTCTTTCCAAGGAGATCTCGGCAACTCTGACATTTTCAATGGTTCCTTTTCACTGACTGGAGTTGTAATCTGACAGGCTAAACACGATTTAACTTTTTCATTAAGTAACTCATCTATACGTGGAAACCATACCTTTTCACGTAATAACGCTTTCGTTTTTGACATTCCCATATGACCTTCATGAGCAATGTTCACTACTTTCTCTCGTAAACTTTCTGGTATGATTATTTGATGTTTTCGTAGAATTATACCCGAAGATATGCAAAGTTCATTTTTAGTTTTCTCATATGAACTAAATTCTGCTTGATTTACTCCTACCATCTTTGAACTCTCAAACCATCTACCTGTTTCAATGGCTTGAATTACTGCTCGAAGAGTAATGTCTTCTCTTGTAGCTTCTTCCAGATCTTTCCTGCTGATTGTTCTTGGAACCGAGTTCTGTGTAACGTAATTAACAAATTCTTCTGCTACTTTCTCTTGCCGGTTGTTTAGTTTCTCATCAGATAAGGGATGACGTGAGAGAAAATCTGCAGGATTTTGAGTTCCAGGTTGAAAACAGATTTCAAAATCATATGGTTGCAATCGTAAAGCCCATCGTTCTAATCTCGCAGATGGCTTTGATGATGGATTTGTGTATATTTTCACCAGCGGCTTGTGATCAGTGACGATGGTGAATTTTCCTCCAAACAAATATAAATGAAAATGTTCGCAGGCCCATACTATAGCTAAAGCTTCTCTTTCCAAGTGGGAATAATTTTTCTCTGTGGTAGTTAGTGATTTACTAGCGTAAGCAATTATTTTCCTTTTTTCTTCTCCCTTTTTCCTCTGCGCCAAGACTGCTGCAATACCAACTGGACTAGCATCTGTGAAAACCTCCGTATCACTATCCGGATCGAAATACGCACTTTCTGGCCCATCTGTTAATGCTTTCCGTAGGGCTTTCATTGTGTCGTCTTGTTCTCTTGTCCACACGAATGGGGCATCTTTCTTGATAAGTCGACGTAACGGCTCCGTAATTGTGGCGTAATGTGGAATAAATCGACAGCAAAAATTGGTCATGCCTAAAAAACTTCGTACTTCTCCGACATCTTTAAGATTTGTGCATCCCTAATTGCTCTCACTTTATTGGGATCCGGCACAATACCATTCTCTGAGAACACATACCCTTGGAATATTAAACTTCTTTTCTTAAACAGACATTTCTCCTTCTTAAGAGTTAGTCCTCGATCTTTAATTCGTTGTAATACCGCGTTCAAATTTGCATCGTGATCTTTCTCGTCTACGCCAAAACCATAATGTCATCACTGATATTAATCACGCCTCTCAGTCCATTCAACGTTTCTCTAATGGCATTTTGGAATATCTCTGCAGCACAGTTTATTCCAAAATTCAAACGTCGAAATCTCCGTAGACCAATGTGTGTTGAGAAGGTTGTCAAATATCTTGATTCTGCATCAAGCTCTAACTGGTTATAGCCTTGATTTAAGTCCAATTTGCTTAACCATACAGCACCATTTAGATCACTTATAATTTCACCAATCGTCGGAGTCAAGTGTCGTTCTCTCTTTATCGCTTTGTTTACTTGTCGCATATCTATACAAACTCGGACCTCCCCTTTTTGTTTTGGTACGACCACGACTGGTGAAACCCAAGGTGTTGGTCCATCCGTTTTCTCTATGACTCCGCGTTCTTCGTCTCGTTTTAACTGTTTCTCCAAGTCTTTTCTCACATGAAACGGCACCCGACGATGAGGTTGTGCGATAGGTTGTACGTCCTTATTTACGTGTAGATGAACTTGAAACCCTTTCAATTTTCCCAGTCCTTGAAAGACTTCTTGATATTTGTTAATTAGCTCTTCCACTTTGGTATCTTCTCTCACTTTTTCTTGCGCCTTTTCTTTAACGGGTTCCTGTTTAGACTTTGTAGTGCCTTCTATGGATGCAACTATTTGTACCAGGCCCAATTTTTGAGAACTTTTCCTGCTTATCAAGCAGCTCGTATTCCCATTAGCAACAAAAAATGTCTCCAACCCATATAGTTTATCGGTTTCGACCACACACTGACATTTTCCTTTAATTGATAGTTGTTTTTTCGATCCATAAGGAAAGATTTTCTCATTTGCTTCCTGCAATATTGGCTTTTTCTTCAATTTGTTAAAATTCACTTCATCCAAGAGATTTACGCTGGAACCGGTATCTGCCATGACTGACACAGGAGTACCATTTATCTTAACTTTAAATTTCGGCAGCTTTTGTTGCGCCATCAATGTTGAAAATACATATTCATCTTCCATACTTGATTCGGACGTTATTTCTTGCACCGTATTCACTTGACGAGGTCTTACTTGATTACGTTTTATCTGTCCGTTTCGCTTTGTTGATTCAGCGCGAGAACTTGGATAATTGTCTTGCATCCGATCTTTGCCTCTTCGATTCTCATAGCAGCAAACTTGAAAATGGTTCCACTTTAAACACTGTCGACATTTCTTTCCATATGCCGGGCAATTTGTTTTCCCTGGACGATGTTCACGAGCACAAAATTTGCATTTGATCTTCGATGAATATTCGGAAGCATTTGAGGTTTTTTCCGTGGGCCTCTTGAACTGCTTTCTTTTATGCCAAATTCGATTCGTGCTTTCAATGCCTTCTGCTTGTGTTTTTGACATCTCCATTGTTTTTCCCATTTGTATTAATTTCTCCATCGTTATTTCGGGGTCTGCTAACGCTTTTCTCCGCAATTTTGAAGATGAACCATTTTGTATGATCTGAGTTTTTATCTCTCTGCTTTCTTCATGAACTTCGCAGGATTTGGCCAATTGTTTCAATCTCGTATAGTACGCGGATATGTTTTCTCCTGGGAGTTGTTTCGCTTGACGAAACTTATAAACTTCGAATTCTATATTCTTCTGTGGAGTGAAGTAATTTCGTAACGCTTTCTCCGCTTTTCTAAATACATCTTCTTCTCTATCTGGCTCGTCAATTTCTAAAGTTTCGAATATCTCATTAACTTCTTCACCGACATAGTGCAGGAGCATCGCCTTCTTTCTTGCAGCGTTTGTGATGTTCATTGCCAACAACAAATTCTCCAATCTTGATACGTATTTTCCCCAAGCTTTTCTAAGGTCTGGTTCTTCTAGGTTGAACGTCGGGAAGCTAGGCAAAGCTGTCATGTTGGAAATGTAGTATCTTTCTCAGGATCAAATCGTATTTCTTCGTCCCTTCGTAATCTTTGTCGCCAGATGTAATATTGTGAGATTTCTCCCCTTTTATTGCTTAGTCATGTTACTTATATACAGATCATTACTTAATTATAATATAGGTTGTATGACGTACGAAATACTAATAATTTGCATAATAACTATACTACAAGATACAACATTTCTTTCATGCTAAGAGCTAGACGCAACCCGCCCGGACGTCAAAAATGAGTTATCATTCAATTAAGCTTTTGCTCATTGCCTTCATTCTTTTTCTGACAGTCTACACATCAAAGCAAGAATCACTTTGTGGCAGTAAGTGTTTTAGTTAATAATGTGTTAAAGCTTTAACTCCATGTCATGGAAACGATAAATTTCAAATTTAATGACATTTCAGCCAGTTTTTAATATTGTAGCTCAGCAGTTCAAAGTATTTTCTACGACGTGCATTTAAATTTATCTGATGAAAACAGTAAAAGAAGTTAAACGATATGCTATTTTGTTGTTTGTTGAGTGCAATCATGCACTGATTAACTGCATTAAAAATATAGCCTTTAACGAGCGTTTATTCTATAACTTATATAATTCATGCAGCTACAAAACAGGTAGGATTATTTTAATTGAGAGAAAAAAACTTCTTCTTTCGTTTTCTTCGCGTCAGTAGCTTAAAAAGAAATTAATGTGTTTGTGCTTTTTTTGTTTAATGCCTAATTTATTAAATGCGAATTCAGTCTTGTGTGCCTCAAAGTTAAAATCAAGTGGTTAACTTCCACTCAAAGAGAGTGATGTCGTCGCTTAAATTTAAGTTTCAATTCGTCATCAAAGTAAATTGTTTGTGTTTGTATCTCATTAATTATTTGTACACAAACCATTAATTCCTATAAAATAGTTTTATTATCAGTGTGTAATAAATCGTTACCAAGATATATTTTAAGAAAAGAAGAAATATTTAAATGTTAAAGCAGATCTGCTTTAAAGAAAAGTTTCCTATATTTCAATAAACATGCATGCAGAAAATGCTAGGTATTTCAGTCACACGCCCATTTTCTATAAATAACTTTTTCTGACATTTTGGCTTGCAGTTAATATCACGTAGCTAGCGGGAAATGTGAGTGTTTTTCAAGCAAAGGAGAGGGGAGCAAATTCATAGATCCCTCCCCCCCCCTAAAAATATGTAGTAAAGCTCCTCGTGGTCCATGCACAAGACTATGTTGCAACAAATTGTGATGTTTTTGCAGTAATTTTACTATAGCAAATTGTTTTTTAATAATATAATTTTGTATTCGGTATAAAGTAAGAGGAGGTGACGAATTCAAAGAAATTCAAACGGATGTGTTAAGGACATACTTTTTCAAGTTTGATTCTGAGAAATCGATACGGAGATTATCTTTCGCCAGTCTGCATGTCAACATTATTGACATTCTACAGTAAGACGCAAGCTGCAGTAGTCAAAATTGAGTTATTGAAGAATGAGTCATTCAAAGCTTTCGCTCATTGCACTCATCCTTTTCTGAAAATCTTCTCATCGAAGCAAGAATCACTTTGTGACAGTAAGTATTTAAGTCGATCCTTTATGTAGCGAGGAAACAACATTTTATTTGTCACACCCATTTCACGTGCATTTTTATGTAATATAATGCCTCAAAAGTTTATGGACATTTTAGTCTACCTGTAGCATTTGGTTCATCGCTTAAATATATCTGATGAAAACAGTGAGATAGTTTTAACAAAGTACTCCTTTGTTTCTCACTATAAATGCGTCGATTAACAGCTTATGAGGTGCTTGTAATTACTAAATAGACTTCATAATTCATATAACTCTCGAGTTTGCTAATATGGTCATTTAATGCTTGTTTTCGCATGATAGTTACCCACCATCCTAAATCTGTTGATTCCGTTCAAAAATTTGTACATGTTTATTTTCTACGTTGTTATGTATAAACCACAGAGAGGTCAAATTTCACAACTAGAATAATGTATTTTCTTACATTAATTAGATGCGAAACTGCTGCACTTTAACCGGTTTTACGAAAAGTGGGGCGGGTGGCTGAATGGTTAATTGCGTGAGCTGTAAGCCAGACAGCGGGGGTTCAATCCCGGCTCGTGGCACATTTGGCAATGTGTCTGTAAACCTAGCCCGGGTTGACCAAAGCCATGTGAGGGAAATTTGGTGGGGGACAAGTAGCAAGGCTTAACGTGCCGTCCCTGATTTCGACTGATTGCTACAACACGCGAAACAAAAACGCGAAAAGATATGATGATGATGATGACCGGTTTTACGCATGTGAAATGATTTGGTAAAGAATAAGTATTTAAACGATATCAGTTCGACCATTCAGTCTGTCAATTTACGTTTCATAATTAGGTTTTCTGTGGTATGGTAATTATCTTAATTTGAACGATCAAATTCCAGGAATTAAAGCTCCTTCATTCTTATGTATCTCTAACAGGGGAAGCATGTCCTAAGGAGGAGAGGGGGTTGGGGAAGTATGTCCAAAAGAAGAGAGGGAGTTTGGGAAGTATGTCCTATAGAGGAGAGGGGGTTGGGGGAGTATGTCCTAAAGAGGAGAGGGGTTTGGGGAAGTATGTCCTAAGGAGGAGAGGGGGTTGAGGAAGTATGTCCTAAGGAGGAGAGGGAGTTGAGGAAGTGTCTTTTTAAGGAGGAGAGAGGGTTGTGTGCAGCCTCTTCTAAGGAAGAGAGAGGATTGGGTGGGACTCGCACTCAAAAAAATTCAAAGTTAGCAGCGTTGTCAGGCAAAAATATTAACTTGTCTAACGGTGTCGGACAAGAAAGTGTTTGAAGAGAATCGTCTTTTTGGGAAATTTAAACATTACTGGCGAATTTTTTTGATAAAATCTTATAAAAAAACGATTTTTATAGTACTACTTTGCACTATTACACAAAGCATTTGCGTCCCTACTAACGATTTTTTTTGCATATTTTTCGATTTTTATTTTTGGTTTTCTGCAGTCAATACACCAATATTAGGTATTCAAAAAAACTTGACTCCCTAACTAAAATATAGCCTATTGATTAGCTAAGGGCGAAATCTAGCTAGGGCACACCACACGATACAGGCAACACCTTTCGTATCACAAAGAAAAGATAACTAGAAATCAATAAAAAGACTGTTATACATCATAAAGACGTTTTAGAAACTTCGACAAGACAAATTTTATTGGTGAGTAACGTGCTGAGCAAATACAACAAGCACTGTGGTCCAATTGTAAAAACTTCTTTTGCTTTCATTCACATCCCGTTTTATAGTGTTGAGAAATGTAATCACAGCATATGCCTCGTACAATTGGAGTATCTAATTAATTAAAGTAACTAATTTTTGTTGAACTTGTTTCTGTGGTTTACACTTTGTATTCGTTACAAGAGTACAACTAAAAACGTACGACAGTTCTGGAAAATGTTTGAAAAAGTCAATTTTTTACTTAAAAATTACTGTTATTTACCGTCGAGATTGATTTGTACTGTATGTGATGTACATTGACGATGAAACTGTAGATGATGCATATTGTTATGTAGGAAAGCCTCGATCTCCCCCTGGTGGTTGTTGTCCTCCGGAATATACACATCAATGTTGTCCATTTGCTGGTGACAATGAAGTAATACAATCTTGTGTGAAATCAAAAAAACACACGAGCTTCAATCACACTAAAATCATTGATAATCAGCTAAATACATCCGTTTCGTATCGTGCTCAGTTTGATCCTAAAAAAGATTGTGTTCATAGTTGGCGTACTCAAGCTTGTGCAGGTGGATTTTACTTGAATCTAAGTGAACCAAATCCTCAACCCAAACCTTGTCCTTCAGGTTGGTAAACATTTCTGAAAACTCCATCAGCCAGTTATTATAATTTATGTGGTGTGATAACTCTAATATTAAGGAATATGGCTTCCGCAAAAATTGTATCTGAATCCTAATTATACTTTTCACTCATCCGTAAAAATATAACTAAATTATAAACAAATTGTTTGACAAAACTCATTTTGTGAAGAAAATTCATTTGAAAATTTAGGATTCTTCTGTCCACCTAAACAATTCTGTCTTATACCCTGTCCATCAGGAGCTTACTGTGTACCAAAGGAAAAGAAGCTTGAAGGGGTAGGTATTGTATAGTTTATATCTTTCGTTGTTACTTCAGATCAGCTTAAGTTTATTTATACGAGTTATATACATGTCACGCTTCATTTAAAATGATAAATAGAGCTGATTATTTAGTCCGAAATTATTTTTACTGTTATATGATAGCATAGATTTAACTTTTGGGTGCCTGCGCACGGACCCACTGCACCCATTGGTTAATATGACACTGGCCTTGAGTGAACTGCCTTGGAAGTGGACTGACACTGCCTGGGAAAAAACCATCCATAGACAAAATGATCAACTCTTATGTTTTTGTTTGGACTTGTTCATGTTTGATCTTGTTAAATTTTTGAAAATGCTTATAGTAGTGTCAATTAACGATATTTTATTTTTCACCTTACGTCCACAGGATAAAGTTCAATGTAGTGGTTTTGGTGTGTGCTGTGGTAAAAATGAACCTCCACTAATACTGAACACTTCTGTAAGAAAATGTAACGACGTTGAAGATAAAAATTGTTTATGTGGCGGTACTGACAAACCTAAACCTTGTCCTGAAGGCTACTATTGTCCTACACCGAATGATAAAAAACCATGTCAGTCTGGGTACTACTGTCGTCCAGGTAGTACTGCGCCTGATCTTTGCCCGGCAAGTATAATTTTTATTAATTTGTAATAATGCCTGAGATGTTGAGAGAATAAGGATATTAATTTTCTCATATTTTGAAATTCAAATTTTATAATTTGTAGCCTAGGACACAGAAGTTCGTCTAAGTCTTAGGGCGTGCTATATTTTAAACACTCGAGACTATAAATGTACTCATATACATCCTATTGTACCTCAACGTATCCGAAAGTGGCGGATGATGTTAAACGGCAAATCAAGGATAAACATTTTAACATTACTATTTTTTTCCTAATGTTTTTACAGTGGCTTACAAGATGTAAAAACAAAAGCTCTGCACCGATCATCAACTTCATTGCTCCATTAGTAATTCTTTTTATTGTCCTAATCTTAACAACTCTACTGGTGTTGTATAATAAATGGAATAAAGTCAAGCTCTATTACAATCGACTTCGAAATGGAGAAGGTTTTTTGTCAAAAGAGTTTGTCAGCGTTGACTTTGGCAGAATGCAAGACATTGTAAAGGAAGATGAAAACCGCTTTCATGAAACTGAGAAATACACCATTGACATAAGCTTTGAAAACTTGGGTCTGACGTTAAAGTCTGTAAGTGTTTTTGTATAGATGAGTGTTTTGGAAATTCTGCAAATTATTTTATTTAATTGACAAAGCTAGATCAGTGCCATAGATCGGTTTGCACATGCAGGGCCGGACACCGGCCAATGCTAACTAAAATGCAAACTCAGCAATAAACCAATTAGTGTACGCGCTGTCTTGTTGTTATTTTATATTTAAAAAATATAATATGTACGCAATTCTAAGTTAGAGTTCTCGGTCTTAATTTGAAATACTGTCCTTTGAAATCGTACA